TTTGTGTTTGACAGTTGTAACGATAGAATAATGCAGAACAGTTTTTTTTCGACATCCGATTGATTTACGTATTGATCTTTACCTCTAAAAGTTATTACCTCTGAGCGAGAGGTAATTAGGATTCTAACAAGGGACGTCTACGGTCTGCAATTTGTCTCAATCGTTAAATGACGGTAATCTTTCGGTGAAAATTGTTAGGTTTTCCTCGTCGTTGTTTTGTGTGTCATGATCGAAGTTTCTTCTGTAATTATATATCTAAAATAATTATGTGAATTTTTAACGATATTTAACGTTCAGTCCACCGGACTGTTCGTGTTTTTGCGTTCGCTTTGTAACAATTATTTTAGACAGCCGAGAAGTAGATAACAGTTGAGACGATAACGATTAATAATATGTGGAAAGGGTCTACCCTAGAAATGGACGTTCTTATCTAATCGCTAAGAAGACAGCGTTCTCCAATGCGAAGAAAGAGCCTCGCGTTCTTTTCAGAATTGGTACCGCGAAACCTATATATCCGCATCTATAAAGCGCAGTGAACGCGAGCGGGTGCAACGAACTCCGCTTCGCATCTTTTTCTCTCTCTCTCTCTCCCTCTCTCTCTTTCTCTCCCTCCCTCCTTATAACTCTCCCTTCCTCTTTTCAGCACCCCTTCCCCGCCGACTGTCATCATCCCATCCCTTCCATCCCTTCTTTCAATCTCCTTTCTCTCTCCACTGTCTCTCTCTGCGGCTCGTATCAAGCGCGATCTGGTCTCTCGCGTGTAAGTTAAGGCCCATTTTTCGCATGCCGTTCATCGCTCATGTTAAAGATGTTAAATAATAGAGAAAAAAAATTGAATATGAATGTATTTATCAAAGTTTAAAAAGTACATTGATATTATTTGAACATTTCGAACGTAATTGAACAAAATATCATGCAATTAATGTATTAAAAAAAAAATTATTAAAAAATTTTTCATTATTATAACGGTGATCTATAAACGTCATAATCATGTGCAATATTGCAACAGAGAGAATGCTTTCTTATGACAAGGACAAAAAATCTCATGTAAGTTACATCTGTTACATCATGATGAAATAAATCTTCAATTTTGGATTAATTATGTTAAGATTTAATCTTTCTGAAGGATAATGTTTTTTTTTTTTAGTGCAATTAATATAGAAGTATTTTTTTAAATTAAATTTTTTGTACTTTCTTTTTTTTTCGCGATGTCCGATTATGTACTTGTGTCATTTAAGCGTCGAAAACGTGACATAATGCAGCTGCAAGCAACAGATCTAATCATTCGTGCATGCACTTCCTTACGATAATGAAGCGAACTATTACAGACAATATACAGACTGCTTTTACTACTGTTAAAATATTTAGTTTGCGAGTTCAAAAATAGTTTGAAAATATTTATTCGATATTTAATTTATACATTTTTACTCGACATTTTGTATCGAGTGTAATAAAAAAATATTAGATAATAATAACTCTTTGATTCATATCGTGATTCGTTTGTGACGCGACGATGTGGCGAGTGCATCGCCGTCGCGCCAATGTCGTATTCAACGTCGAGGGTATACATATACTCGCGATAGCGTCAACGTGGCATGACGAGTCATCTTATGCTTAATACTCCGCCAATGTACAATAGGAATGTCATAAACGTGCTCGATAATATCACGGTCTCACAATGTCGACTCAGGAATGTCAGATAAACTGTAACACCCTTATATTTGTTTAACAAATCTGCAAGAGCAACGTTTGTAAATTTGGATCCCACTTGAGACTCTGCCGCCTATTCCACGGCGTAGAAGACGAATCGGCATTCCCTTCGAGAGAATGATCGAGAAAGGGTAGATGAATGGAAGCAAGAATGCACTCTGTGTACACACGTGCGTTCCGATTATACGAACTGATCCGTTAGACCGCTGGCACTTTACGCGTACTGTCAAACATTGCGGCAACATTATTAGCCAAGAGCTCATATACATCTACGCTCGTATAAACAGTTAGGGGCGGTACTCATGATAGTGCAATTTTGTATTTAAGATCGTTTTACGTGCGATTTCAAAACGCTATGTAGTCACTTCACTGGATGGAATTTTAGAACTTAAAACGATTTTTAAAATAAAATTGTTGTAAAAATAACACCCTATACGTAGTTTGTATGCATGCACGAAAGATTAAGATGAGATTTGCAAGTCAAGTTTAATGATTATATTAATTATTGAGGGCCTAACTTTAAAGGAAAAAAAGAAAGATTGCCAATATGCCGTTTTATTGCTTTGTTAAATGACATAATACGAGATGAATTAGGAAAAATAGATCAAAAAATAAAGTCGCCCTAACTTTTCAGATATATAAGACATACATTTCTAATTAAACATGTATAATTAAAATCTATTTGTAATTAAAATTTAATCATATTGAAAGGATATTAATGCAACATGTTATGTGTATGCGATTTGCTATCTGTAATTTATTCTTTCTATTGAACCAGAACAACGTTACAAATAGATCATGGTCATATCTACTTTAAGAACGCACGATATCTAAATAATATCTAATAATATTAAAATAATAATATAAAAAGATACTTTAAAATAATATTTTGAAAGTAATTTTAAGAGAAACGGATTTTTCTTGCATCTGATCGCAATACCATCAATATCTTTCCAAACAACTGGAAAAAAATTTAAGTATTTCTTGTTACTCGTCAATTATTATTATTTATTCAATATTTTACACGTAATACGCATATATAATTGACATAAAATTAAATTAAATTTTACTATACAAATCTAATTTTATCAATAATTGAATAAATTAAATAAGAGAATTTGATTAATTGATTATAATATATGAAAGAAAACATTTTTTGCTACATTTTTATTTTGATATGCATCTGTTGAACACTGGGAAGTTTCACGGTCTAGGACATTGGTCCAAACAAGAAAGAAAAAGAGAGGATACTTTGAAGAATTTTTATAAATTTTTAAACTGATTTTGAGTATATATTATGCAAGGAAACAAGCGTGACGCCGGATTCATTCCCCCCGTGAAATTCCCGTACGATGCCCTTTTTCATCGCTGAACTTCCGTATAGAATTGTCGATTGCATCGAGGTAGGGGGACCACCCTAGTTAATCCCTTCCCTGTCCCCCATACGCGAAACCCTTATCTACGGCGAAGTTGGCGAAGCTCTCTCTCTCTCTCTCTCTCTCTCTCTCTCTCTCTCGCTCGCATTCTGCTAGTGTAAGACTTTTACGCGCGTTAATTAATCGGAACGCTGACGGTGCGCCGATTAAGCCGCGCGACGTCTAATTATAGCGGCTGGCTAATCAGGTCGTGATACGAAGATTTTATTTACGCCGCGATATACATGTGAGGACACGTATACGCGCCGAGCTAATAAGCGCCGCCGGTCGCACGATATTGCGGCGGGGAACGATAGTGCGCGCGTGGCGCGTTTCACCACCACGTCGCGCCGTCGTCCTTGAAGGCCCCCGGTGAACGACTATTTTCTAGGCAAGGTCGACCGAGGCTCCTATACACCAGCTACGGTGTATGTTTATCGGTTTATCAATGTCATCGTCTCTCTCGCGGACGGTTGTTTTGCAGGATTCGACCTTCTAATTCTAGAGAGTTTGAAAAGTGCTCGCGTGTTCGTGTTGCACTCGGACAAGATGAGAAGAATATTATCACGTTACGGAAAATGCTGGTGAAACAATCACCTTCAATCATATCATCACCACATGTCGCGTTTCGAGAAAGAGACAGAGGAGCGTGGGGGAATGGCAATTAAGTAATCGAGTTCTGGAAAACAGATCATAGATAGTTGAAAAATATACAATAATAATTCACACACAGTCGATTAATTACTCAATATACTCGGATTTATTGATAATCAAGACAGTGCAGGGTGTATTTCACAATACAGCTAGTCTTAGTTGTGCGTAGTTGGACGTATTATAGATAACGATGGTTATCGCGGTGGTGCCCAACTTTTCAATGACGCCACAGTGTTCACTGGTGACCACCGCTTTATTAAGAATTTTTTAAGTACTTGTAAAAAATAACACTATTTAATATAAAATTTTGAATGATGTAATTATCTAGATAACAATATAAAATAAAAAGTGTTCTGTATAACACCTATAAAAATACAAACCTATTTAATTATGCAATATTTTATCATTCTATATATATGTATATATATTTATGTTCACAAAAATTCTACTGTGTATACGAAATATAAAACTCACTAGGCAGATAACGTATAAACACCACAAGTAAAAGCGAAATATTTTATTTTCTTGTATTTGCGAGAAAATATTTACCCCCAGAAGTACCGTTTAATCTACCTTGCTTTACAACTGTATTATATATTGCGCTCTCAAAAACTTTGTATTAAGAAAGCTGGAGAAAGCAGCCTCTTAAATGATATATTGCATATTTGATCTTTCTGACCAAGAGACATTTTATTAAACAAAAAATCTCATAATGAATGTAATATATTATTTCTATAGAGTCACATCTCTCATCCTATTGCTATATTTATAGTAAACTCTGTGCGATTCAAGTTAGTTTCTTGTCACCCGTGCGATCGATTTGACATTTCAAGATTTTCAATTTTCGGATCTTCTTCTCGACGCCCACTTTGGACGTCTAAAATTTGTGACAGAATTCTATTTATAATTTCATGTGCGTCGTCATTTGAAGAATATTTGCAGTATAAAATGCGCACATGAAGTACACATTTAGATGTTCTATAATTTGCATTAGACATTGCATTATTTAAGACAGATTTCTGTTCATAATTTTGTCTGCTATATATTTTTAATATATATTTTACATGTGTGCGTATATTTCTGATTCGTTAAATTTTTCATATTATATGATACATACAACTATAAATATATAGAATTCTATCTTGAATTCTGATACAAATTAAAAATCTCAACCGACCTTAAACGAAAAGTCTGAATGAAAGCATTGTTGTGTGTTCGTAGCTTAAACAAGATGCACGCGATGGACGGCGCGGCCGAGAGCAGGCGAAAGGTGGATACCGCGGAGGACGACAAGACATCGAGATCGTCGCCGTCGCCGAAAGTACCTCAGAGCCAGCAGAACGGCGCCGCCCTTCCGGAGGAGACGGCGGCGGCGCCGGCAGCGTCAGTGGGTCGCGCGCGCACCAAGAAGAAGGACGAGTCCCGCTGCGACACGGAGACCGTCCCGGCTGCAAACACGAAGGGCAGGCAGCTGCTTGCGAGCACGTCGCGGCAGAGTGCGACGACTCCGAGCGATGTCGTCGTGCAACCGCGTCATGTTAAAGCGGCGTCCGAGCCCGTCGAGATCAAGAAACGGAAGTCCACTAACGGACAGCTGGCCTCGCTGGGAAATCCCAGGAAGAAGTTTCGCGACAACTATACGCGAGAGGAGTACATTTCGAGTATTGTGGGCGACAACAACGAAAGCATCGAGGATCTTGTGGCGAAGGCCGATCGACTACGAGCCGATATTTTGGTGAGTTGCGATCTTCGTGGCTGCGATCTCTCATTAAGAGAAATCACCTTTTTTTTTTTAAAGCATTCGCGATATATTCCATTGATTTCTATCTGCAGGATCTTGAAAATTTAGCACACGCCAAAGAAATGGAATGGAACGAGATCCTAAGGAAGAGGAAACTCAAGGAGGAAGCGTACCTGAGGCTCGAAAGGAAGATACAAACGACAGCCTACATGGAAAACGACGGTCAGTTGTCGGAGACTCTGCCGCCCACTAGATCATTTTCGGGCTCGGCCGAATGGGAGAACAACGGCAGCACCATATCGAAGGAGAGATCTTTCGAATCTAAGGAGGATCTAGGCGAGAGATCTTCGGACTCATCGGGCTCGAAGAAAGAGAAAACCACGAAAGCTAGCTTGCAACAACGAGCGACTCCTCCGAAAACCAATGGCGAGAGCAATCGTAAACAGAACGAGGCGTCGAGTCCGGAAAGTCGACAGATCGGAGAAGGTCGTCAAGGTGCGATAGTGGATGTCAGATCTATTATCGCCGACCATAGGCTCAAGCATCCAGAAACCGTACCAAGGAGGTAATTAATTATAAATAAAAGAATGAAAGAGGGGGGACAGATGATTTTTCTCATAATATAACTTAAAATTTATATAAAACAATATAATGTTCATAAATGTTTGAAGAAAATTTAACGTTAAGTTAACGCGATTCGTGCAATATAATCTTCAATAATATTCGGGAGATATAATTTAAATATATTACTGTACTAAAATCGATTCTCTGAGCGCGAGTGGCATGACGGACAGCGCACTGGTTTGTCATATACAGGTCCCGGATTCGATTTCCGATAGAACCAATAAATATGCTCGCGTCTTCTCTTCCGGCAAACCACCGAGAATATCCTTTGCCTCGAAAACCTCTCTCAAAAATTCTGCCGTTCGGATTCGGCTTTAAACTATAGGTCTCATATGCCTGTGTACAGCGTGTACACCACAGGCATATGAAGAGAGGGTAGGTTCGATATGAGCTGTAGCGCCATCGAAGAAGAAAATCGATTCTACGATATTATTGCGTGTGTGCAGTTAGCACCCCAATATTAAAATTTCATTAGTTCTGATTAGAGTTTACGCTGCAATTTGAAGAGACAAAAAGTTTCCTATAGTTTATAACAAGAGTTCTGCTTAATAACAATTTTTAATTTAAATGAAAAAAATGAGGTGCTAATCTTCTTATCAAAATTCATGACCGAATAGTTCTGAGCGGCTTGTTATAAACTATAGGTGTCTTTTCGTTTCTCCAAAATGAAACAGAAGCTCTAATCAGAACTATGGAATTTTAATATTGGGATTCTAACTTCACACACGCGATATTATTCATAATCACTTTTTTAACCGTTTAAAATATATTTTTATAGCAAATATAATTTTAAATAAAGAAATAAAAATCTGATTAATGAAACAGGTTTACTAAGTATACATATAAATGCTATATTAGGTAATAATATGTAGTATTTGATTATACAGCATCCGATCTCTTATTATAAGATCACAGTCACTGACTTATGTAGCACTAAAAAATCTGTGCTTTTAAGAAGACAGCTTTCGTTTTATGGATTGTTAAGCATAATTTCCAATTGTGTGTGCAGAGGTCGAAGGATGAGAAATTCGAACGTGAATATCAATCTCGGTGCTGGCGGCGCCATGGTCGAAACAGGGCACAATGCTGACTCAAGACCATCTAGCACAGAATCGTGCAAGAGCAACTCAAGGGATGCGAACGATCCCATGAACTATAAAGACATGCTAGTGCAATTTGCTAAGCTAAGTCAGCAAGGTAAGATCAGTTTTCTCGGATTTTGAGTCGATTGAATTTATATTATAAACGCCGAAGAGGCAATTTGCAAATATTCATCGGTAACTGGTGATCATCAATCCTACAACCGCGTTTCAACATTTGTGTTTAGGCGAACCTGTCAAGGTACCGCAGAATTATCCAGACGTGACGCTTCATCCTGTGACACCTTCGTCTGCCCAGAATATGTCTCAGCCGACCGGCTCGTTGCTCCATGGAATTCTAACAAAAGCGCAACCACCGAGATCCACGACTTTTTCACCTACTTTAGCGAGATTACTCACCGCGCCTGAAAGAGAAAGGAGTTCTCCGGGGGCCGCGGCAGCGGTGGCGGCGGCGGCGGCGGCATCTGCGTCCATGTCGCAGCAAGGCGCCACGACCCAGCACCTTTTGCAGACATACCAAGGCTCTAATCTGGTTTCTATAAATGATCTCTTATCTTCTTCCAAGGTTCTTTGCTTTTTTTAAATTCTTTGTAATTATTATTTTTTTTCGCAATTTACGTCGGCATGAAACACTGTAATTTCCTTTAAACAACGTGATTATTGCATTATTCGAATATCCAGCAGCGTAACTTGATTTAATATAATTTATAAAAAATAAGTATATAAAAAATTTAAAGGGATTACCGTATAAATAAGGAATACAAGTTTTCGGAAGACGTGAATTCGAAAAACCTCTGGTCAAATGATCAGTTAGGCGAGAAAGTAGATTTAGGTAACACAGTTTCTCTTTTAGGTAACACAAGACATTTTTTTTCTAGGCCCGCACAGAGATAACTATAACCCCTGTCGTTAACACTCCCGCGCAATCTCACTCCAACGATTTAATTCAAGTGGTAAATTTCCTCGTCAATTTGTTAACAACACACTCTTGCGCATGATTTCTGATCGTTCCATTGAACTTCTAGGAGGATGTTGAGGAAGAAGCAACGGTAATTGATGAGAGGAAGGGAAACTCGGTGATCGGAAGGGATGGTAAACAATTAGTTAAAGACAATCCACCTTCGCCAAGCGCCCCGCCAAAATGTCAGGGATGCATAATTCGACCCGCACAATTCGTTTGCGCCGGATGCGGAAATCAGTGGTATTGCAGTCGTTCATGTCAGGTACATATGTCACAGTATATTATGCTTTTCACACATACCTATGATTTACGTTAACGATCAACAATGACAATGGATTGTATTTATATCGGCAGCTTGCCGCGTGGGCAACGCACTCCGACCACTGTCCGCCGGAGCCCGAGAATAGCAGCAAAACCAAGACCAACGTTTAACGCCCGAGATCCTTGCACGCCCGGTGTACGCAATGGCATCAGGCGAGGAGGTATCAGCGTAACCGAGTACGAATCTAGTCAAGGAAGGAGGTTCAAGGGTATAATTCATATTGAACGACAAACGAGATGCGGAGAGGAATTACCGTGTGTGTATCGTATTGATGTAGTATCGGAAAGATCCTTGTCGAAGCAAACGGATGATATTGTCCTATTTATCACAAGCATTTACTGATCTCCCGTCTCTAAGGAGGTTCCACGCTACCCCCCCACGTTCTGCACTTTGCAGAATGAATTCATGAAGTTTCTTGCACTTTGCTCGAGCTTTAGATGAAGAAAATTTTGTCTTTTTTCTGATGATGAAAATTAATTGGGATATTCGATGCCATTGGTTGACGAGCCTCGTGTGTTATGTATAATTCTTTTTCTTTTAGACTTTACTACATACTTTACTACATACACTAGTCGACAATTTTTCGAGTGCTCGAGAAACGAGCGGGAAAGGGAATATGTAATTCCGTGGCGCTTTGTGGACGTGGAGCACAATACTAAGCAACGCGATGCTGTATATAATTTTATACAATTTAAGAGAGTTGTTCAGCGTCGGATTTTAGAACGCCGATTAATCGCGTGCCATGCGTAAGATCGGGGGCGGATTGAGACCATCAGCTCTTTGAAAGATATCGAGATATATATATTTTTTCTTTATATCAGAAAACATTTTACAGTGAAATTGTAGACATTTTAAACTTAATTGAGAGACAGTTAAAAATCGCATTAAGATTTGTCATAATAAACGGAGTAAACTTGTTATAATAACATGTTTACTTTGTTATTATAACAAATTTCAGATGAAATTAACTTGCCATTTACTATGACAAGTTTTATATCGCTAGACATTGTTCGCAAATGATTTCAAATTATGTATCCACGTAGACATTTTCTGCTTACTTAATCCGCCCCTATATGTAAGATTCGTTTTCCATAATTGACCTTAACACGGACGTTCAAGTTAGAAAAATAATTTGAACATTTTTTTACATGTAGTGATATAGATTTTATTCTGTTTTCTCCCTTCATTTTGCATTGTGGGCATAAGAAATTACTGGACAGAGTATTTCGTCAAAAAACGAAAGATGCCTTATTAGGTACTCATTATGAAACGTTTGGATGCATATATTCGCATATTACATTGGTTAGCATGTATCGCGTGTTAGCAATGTGTCAGCAATCTTGTTTATGTGTGTGTGTGTATATATATATATATACACCGATTACGAACAAATTGCCAATACGATACATGTTAACCATGTGATATGCGAATATATGTATTGAATGTTTAATAAAGAGCACTTAATATTCATTTTCCGTTTCTCGTCAACATGTGATACATGTTTATATAAATGGATGACAGATATTGTACAGGTCGCTCGCGAGTTAGACGTTTTCACTTCTCCGTCGCCTCGTTGAGGGAGATAGAGAAAATAAAAAGAATAAACGCCAGAACTCTGCCCGTTCTACAATACGTCGCATGTCGGTGCTGTAAGCCGTAAGCTGTAAGAACGGCCAATCACGAGTCGAGTTTTCTCCTTATATTAGACTATGATTCAATTCTTAAGCCATCTCCACTTAGTCACTACTAACTTATTATTATCTTATACTACTGACTGGCTTATAATTAGTTTCTGACTTTTGCTTTATGACTAATGGCTTATTGTTGTTGATGTAAGACAGCTTATGGTTTACAACACCAAGATACGACGGGTATAGAACGGTCTGCAATGGATGGCTATTCTAGCATCTATTCTTTTTTTTTGTTTTCTCTGTCTCACGAGATGATGGAGAAGTGGAAGCGTTTCGCGAAATCGTAAAATTTCGCGAGCTTGACTTGATATAAATCTCTTCATTTTGTTATATATATGCATATATAAATGCAATATATTGTTATATAAAAAAATGTATTGCAATATTTCTGTTTTATTCGAAGAGAGATCAATAAAAATAAAATATCCGACATATTTTCTCTCTCGCTCGCTCGTCCTCGCGCGCTCTCTTATTTTTCTCGTACAACTTCTTTTAAAATCTATTTTGTCAAAAAATACAGCTTTAAGCTCTGTCCAGTTATTCTCTTATCGTTCGTGATGTTATATGAGTTTTGCGCATAAATCGCAGGATGCGTGGACACGCCTGCGTATATTGAGACGAATGTATCACACATGCAACATTTTACATTTGTTACCAATACATACGAACATGTAAATTTTAACAAAAAAAAAACATTAGTTTTAGTATAGCAGTAAGATATTTTTTTTTAAATTTTGTTGGTGACATATTCTCGCATGTTTTGCATTTTTTTAAATTAATATGTTACCCATACGATGACTGTCCCTGTCATAATCTGTAGCCCAAAGTTCCTACAGGTACATACAACATATATATGTATAAATATATATATATATTTTTCCCATTACAAAGCAAACCAAAATAAAGTTTTTAATCGTATATCTGCATATATATCATTTCGTTGTTACCACTTAGATCATTCTCAGTCACTTTGCGATTTTGCCGATAAATGGGAATTTTAGTGTGCGTTTATAGACAATCTATCAAAAAAATTATATTACGTTAAAAAAATAAATTGTACGCGCGTAAGATACGTCTGTGACATTCTGATAATAAAAATAAAAAGTCGAGAAGACTTCGATCTTTCATGTGTGGAATATAAATTGTTATATACCAATATGATACAACTGACATTTTGAAATGGATTAAAATTTTCATATATTTTAATTCGAAACGTAGACATGAATTATCGAGATACGTCGTGCGATCGTACTTATCGTGTAATCTTCGCGAGTATTGCATCGTGTGCTGTACAGAGTCTGTGCCTTATTTTGTACATACATACGCGTTGCCGCGTCCGGTCTTGTTTGTCGAGTGTGTTGCTATCTGCTTTATCGGTTTTGCGATTTTTGTGCTGCTGTGATCGACGCTTTCCGAAAAGCTCGGGATCATCCATGTCGATAGTCGGGATGATCGCTCTCTCTGGGTTAGGTTAGGTTGTGTCAGCTGATTGTGTACAGCAAATGCATACATATATGGATAGATATAAGTGGTATAACCTCAATGTAGTTGGTTGCACCGGTTGCACGTGAAGCAAAATATACAACGTAATAGGGGTCAGGGGATGTCGTATAACCTCTAGGGAAGAGGTTAAAGGCTCTTATCCACCACCAACCGGTGGGAATCTCCAAAAAAAAAAGGATTACACGTGATTGTACGCTGTGCTTTTTAAATGCTTGTGAATACTTTCGACAATCATGACAAACCGAACGCCAACATATAGTTTTCGTTCTTGCTTTTAATGATCCCCAATACGAATTGGAAATAACTTTTGGTAGTTTTAGCCGAATCAAGTAGGTACATACACGATCGTAAATGAGTGAATATATGATTAGTAAATACTTATTAAATGTGAACATGAAAGACGTGGTTAATTTCGTTTGATACCTTTACAAATTTTAGGCTGCACTTTTCTCGACGACTTTTCCAATGCTGCATAGCTTACGTTGATTATTGAAGACCGGCAGGTCTCTCTGGGAAATCACGATGTCCACTCCGTTTTTGCACATTAGTCGATCGTTGGCGACCGCCGCAAGGTCCAAGCGGCGCGTCGTCGTGACTGGGATGGGGATCGTGTGCCCTTTGGGAGTCGGGACGCGAAATGCCTGGGAAGACCTCGTCAATTCCAAATGCGGAATCGTGCGGCTCTCCGAGCCGGACTACGACAAGCTACCGTGTAAAGTAGGTGAGCTATTTCTGTCTATTATCGTGGCGAACGTATGTGTTGGAAATTTATTTATTTACACGATCGTTTTCTATATGTAAAGACAGTCAACAGACAATTTATTAACTCCGAATACCTATGCATTATAATTGCTGTTGTCCAAGACGTGATTATTGTGCGCAATTATGTGACAATTGATTTGCATTTATCAGCTGCACTGGTGCCGAAGGGAAGCTCATCCCGCGAGCTCAACGTCGACGCTCACTTTTCGAAGAGTGAACTGCGCACGATGTGCCCAGCCACCGTGTATGCGCTGATAGCCTCGGAGGAGGCACTCGTGGATGCGAAATGGAAGCCGACCGATGAGGCCGACAAGCGCGACACCGGGGTCTCGGTGGGAATCGGCATGATAGACCTAGTGGACGTGTGCATGACGTACGAAGCTCTGAAGAAGGGATACAGCAAGGTCAGTCCGTTCTTCGTGCCAAGGATACTGCCGAACATGGCCGCCGGGCAGATCAGCATCAAGTACGGCTTCCGCGGTCCCAATCATTCGGTGTCGACCGCGTGTGCGACGGGCGCGCACGCTATCGGTAAGTGATTTGACGAGGCCGGCAGGTGCTGATGCCTTCTGACGACCTCAAGTACCTCAGGCGCTTTTCCCACGTCCGCGAGACCATTGTGACGAGAATCGTGTCTTCCAGGCGACGCGTTCCGCTTCATCCGCGGTGGCGAGACGAGCGTGATGGTGTGCGGCGGCGCGGAGGCGTGCATCAGTCCGCTGGCCATAGCCGCGTTCTGCCGGCTGCGCGCGCTGAGCGCGTCGAGGAACGACATGCCGCGGGAGGCGTCGCGGCCCTTCGACCGCGACCGCGACGGCTTCGTCATGGGCGAGGGCGCCGCGATACTGGTGCTGGAGGAGCTGAGCCACGCGCTCGCCCGGAGCGCGCCGATTTACGCGGAGGTGCTGGGCTACGGTCTGTCCGGCGACGCGTCGCACATAACGGCGCCGAGCGAGGACGGCACCGGTGCGCTGCTGGCGATGGACCGGACGCTGAAGGACGCCGGCATCGAGATCGCGGAGGTGACGCACGTGAACGCGCACGCCACGTCCACGCCGCTGGGCGACGCGATCGAGGTGAGGGCGATCGAGTCGCTGATGGGCGAGCACAGCAAGAACGTGACGGTAACGAGCACGAAGGGGGCGCACGGTCATCTGCTGGGTGCCGCCGGCAATCTGGAGGCCGCCTTCACGATTTTGGCGATCAAGGACGGCGTGATACCGCCCACGTTGAATCTGCACAACTTGGACATGGAGACGAGTTTGAGATTTGCGCCGCATACGAAAGTGAAGTGGGACGCGACCACGGCGCGTCGAACGGCCCTGAAAAACGCGTTCGGCTTCGGCGGAACGAACGCGTGCTTGTGCTTCGCACAATACGTCGACTAATGTCCATTTTTACCAGTGTAGATCAACTTTAATCTCGGTTTAATTTACTCTTTTTTTTCTAATTAGAACTAGAAAAAGATAAAAAGTAAGTTAAACCGAAATTAAAGTAAATCTATATTGGTAGAAACGGGCATAGGCTCGAGAAGAAGATGTATTCTATCTTATTGGTAAGAGAATGTCGTAGTCATTTTCAAAAGCTTGTAAAAAGATTTTAATAATGAACTCTGAAAGGTGGAGATTTCTATGAAGTTAGTAGATTAACGCTATTGCGTAATTTTATTCCTACCGTTCATTAGACAGTGAAAGGATAGAGTGACGCAATAGTACTGTTAGCGCTTCGAACGTGCCTTATATCATATCCTCAATAGCTTGAAAAAGATAATGTGTATTTCCATAAAGATGCGAATGTTTAGAGGAAAAAGGAAGTCAATTATCGAGCCAATAACCAAATTTAATGTTACGACGAGCAATGCGTTGATAGAATTAATTACTAGTCATTCCTTGAAACGTATTGACTTAAGTAAAAGAATTCAAGGGCGAACATATAAAAAGATCATCTTAAAAAGATGATGAATGACGTACGGATTTTTAGATATTTCCATTCAATAAGACGCTGTTCTTGTAAGTATATATACTGGTATGTACATATGTATAAAAAGTTCAAGAGAAGTAAATTCGGTGACGAATTGAATTTCACACAACTTATTACCAGTGGATAGCGGCTTAAATATTTTTAATAACTTTTTATGCAACATACAATATATGTGTACGATTTACGACAATAATTCTTTTCACAGAATATTTTTACAAGTGCGTGTAATGGAAGTTACACAGAGAGGATATACATCGGAATAATAAAATATATGTATATATATATATATTATAATGGAATGCAACATTGATTTTAATATTAAGTTTTCCGACAATATTACAACGCATCTCTGTTTGTTACAACATTGACATGAATCCATCATAATCATATCGCCGCGTAAACAATATCTTGAAAATAAAAAATTTCCAAGAAAATATACAATACTTTTCAAATAACTGGAAAAACTTGTCTTTAACAACTTGCGGAATCGGATCTGCCATATTTTCACGGCCAAGGCATGTTTCATTCAAAATACGTACTTGTTTCGCTTAAATTGCAAAGATCTATACAATCAATTTCAAGATGTACATCAATATTCAAGTTTCGTATACTAGATTTTATGGTATCTCAATTTGCGTTGTGTATTCTGTACTTTTCTCAAAGTCGACGTCATTGTCTTAACTATCGGATATCAAACTATTTAATTCCTCGGTATTTTTTTATTTACGCAGACGCAATTTCTTGCTCGTGGAGATAAATAGTATTATTGTATTGTTTTTTGGCTTCGTAATATACACATAATCAGCATTTTATTCACATCAGAAGGTCGACTTCGAATGATAACAGTTTTCTTCAAAATACATCTATTATATTCGTGTCTCACTACTGTCAGTAAATCAAAGTAAAAAAAAAATAAGAAGAAACAGACGGAGATATATTTTACCATAGCTAGTAGGAATCCTTAATGAAGAATGCTAAGTGGTTTCTGATGGCTGCACAACATGGCGAAACGTTCTCTAAGTATTTGCCGGAGTTCTAGCCGCTTCTCCGTGAGTTGACACACCCTCGACTTAAATTCTAATACCTCCTCCGCTGGAATATAACTCTCCTTGTCGTCGTCGTCAGAAATATAGGAATCCTGAGGATCAAACAGTTACCATATCGAAATTAAAAAAAATTAATTTCTTTATACAGAACAGCAAATCCTTAAATATTTAAAGTGTCAGATCTAAAACGTACCTTTAACATTTGCGTAAGTGTCGGACCTCTCTCTTGCAACAAAGAGATGCTAGAATTGGAATGATTAAGTTTATCATGACAAGCGCCTTCGTGATCGCACCATTCGTCGTTACACGCCACTTCGGAACCCTCCGGTGTGCTAGGCAGAGAAGAACTGCTGATGTTGTGCTCGGAGGAGTACCCACAATCTTGAGACGATTGCTCGCTTGAGGAATGGCTTTTTCTCTCGGGCATCTCGAAGCGTTTCTTCATCTCTATCCACATGGTGTATTTAGTTTCGCTCGGTTCCGTTATCCAAGCATCTACCAGCTCGTTGGTCATGGAATCTTTGCAGTTGTCGTCATAACGCCACTGACTCTCGTCGATTTTCTCACCCTTCTTCGAACGAAAAAAGAAAAAAACGCATTTCATCTTAAAAAATTCGACACATTCACGGCGCGCGACAGCTAATACGAGATTGACGACTGTAATTACCTTACACGACTCGCAAATATCGGATGAATCCTCTCGCGACAATTGTTTACAGGGCGTACTACTTTGCTTCGATTGACTTGTGTTAAGTTTCGTCTTCGTTTCGGTGGTGTTCTTCTTAACTTTCTGCGAACCCTTTTTCACAGGGAATGCTAATTCTGTTTTACTTTGCGACTGTGATATACTATGCGTTTTTGGCTTCTTTAAACAGTCCGGGCATTTACACGTCGGCGGACCTTTGTTTTTTGGATCTAGGACCTGCAACTAGATCAAGGAGGCGATAGTAAACGGAGACGTTTTACGTATGCATGTAAAATTAAGTTTCATACCTTATGCCGATTGATGTTCTGCGTCGTCGGCTTCGATTCCGCACAGATACAAGGAGAGTCACTTTGCCTTTCATTTGAACACTATGACAAAATATACAACAACTTAGCCATGCGCGGATGTGAACATGTTAAATTTCATTTACATAAATATTTCCCGTGAGAAGTTAACAAGTCGATTTTTTTTTTTTAAGAAACGAGTCTTGCACACAAATCCAAACGTACATCACAGCAGTTTTCCTTCTCCTCAGTTTCGTTACGACGTCCCTTCTTCTTCTTGCGTTTGAGACGTAACTTTTCACGTTTGTGCTGTTTCGCTAGTTCTTCCTTCGCGACTTGCTTGTAGAACAATTCCAACTGCGAGATACCTTGTTTCTGCTCGATCGCCGACTAAACGAAACAAAGTACTTAGCTTTATTATATTATCTATTACGTAAATGTAGGATTTTCTGATATTACTAAAAATAGAGTCGTATTATACAAAATCATACTAAACAGATCATTTAATCAATACTAAATATCAATACTAAATAAGAGCATTATTGTACAAAATCTTGTTACCCGAAAGTTTCTGGACAGCGCATCCACCGCGACGGCAGCTAATACTTTACACACAGTCTCCTGTTCCTTCATTCGTCGATGTATTCTGTGCAGTCGTTCGGCGATACATATACCTAAGCACGTAAGTACTTCTTCTTGAGCAATTTCCAGCGTTTTCGCGTGGCGCTCTCTGAAATTCGCGGAGACATCTCTTATTACGTTTTTCAAAGACAAAAAAAAACATTGCGTTTCTAGAAAATGTATTGGAGATCAGTACCTTCCCATAAGCGCCCACGGTTGCGCGCGACCGAGGAGGGTGGTCATGTATTCCGTGATGGGTGGCAAATGTACGTGATGGTCGGCTATGCAACGCTTAATTCCGGAATATAAAACTGCTACGTAACCCTTTTCCTTCGTAGGTTCGGGTTCTCGTGTCAGAAGAGACGACGCCAGTAGCACCTTGTTGCGACACTCGGCGCAAAACCTGATAAAACCACACAATCGTGTTATAAAGAAAAAGTTATGTGGAATATAATCTACGTGAAGCTACGCAGGTTTACATTGTTTATACCTATGTTTTCGTAGATAAGTATCTAAAGCTTCATCAAGCGTATCGGTCTCTATTAAAGTCAATTCCTGCCGGCACGGTAGCTCCATGCAGTCCCACACCTCTCTCCAAGAGTTCCATATCGGCGGCAACCGCTGGATCTCCAACGTATGTAGCACGCATCGTCGGGACTTTCTGTTCCTTTGCTGCTTTTCCATTAAATTATTTAACCTAGTGCTGCAAACGTGTAAGTAGTGATAACTCCTCTCACAGATGTATTTGGAATGATTTGGAACGATTTCACAGTCGACTATATACCTGTGTCCATGCAACAACGTACAGAGCTGTTGGGGCGATTTCAAGACCTCATCTTTTATAGAAAGCACCCCATCGGGGGTGATAACCAGCGGATCTAATGCAGGATGCCCCGAATTCATCAGATCATAGAACAATCTTTCAACACTAAACAGAAAATACATCTTAATATCAGTTAAAGTTATAAAGGCAGTGATATACGTTATTCGTTAATAAAAAGTTACTAATTGTAATTATTTTAATAAGAGATAATCACCTTCTTCGGCAACCGACGCACGGTTCTGCGTCATTTAGAATTTCAACAACCATCTTGAAAGTAACTGCGAAGGACGCCTTGATCTCTGCCGTTGTGAGCGAAGAAAATTTCTTGGTAAACTCTTCCAGTTGTTTACCACTGATCAAGGGATTATCACAGATCGCTCCCAAACCACTTATGTCCATAATCATCTAAAAGGACACAACGATAAATAAATCTCGTGGAAAATTGCGGTGTCAAGTAAATATATCATATTCGACTTGATGACAATTCGAAAGGAGAAAGCATAACACTCTTGCTCGACGTTTCGGTTACGAATAATCCTCAATGATAACAAAAGTAATCTGCAATAACGTTATTTTTCTAATTAAGCACCGAAACCGAAAGATCGTCTACAAGAATACGTGTACGTCGCAGGTGTATGAGAACGACCATCGGATCATCCTCGTCCTATCATTGTCGGCGACGACGCGTCCGCTCGACGTTCTGACAACGCACGATCGCCGATCGATCGTGACAGACGAGCTTCGGAATTCGCGATCCAGCATTCTCGTTTTTCTCTTTTTTTTTTCACCCCCCCCCTCTCTGTCTCTCTAACACCTGATTGCACGCGATTCAGGTTAAAGAGTCCGTGCGGAGCGTGGAGAACGCTTCCGTTACGTAAAGCGAGTAAAGCGACGTCGCCGTCGTGCCCCAGGAGTCGCGCGCCGGTCGAACGGGCCAGGGGAAAGAAAATCGGCGCCGCGTACGCGCGGGCGCGGACGTGCGCGGACGTGCGCGCGCGCGCTCACCGTCAGGTTCTCGTCGACGATCAGCGGCATTTGCTTGCTCGCCAGCTCCACCGGATCGTCGTCCCGCCAAACGTTCACCAGTCTCGCCATCGTGTCCCGTCTCCCCGCTCGGGGGTCCGTCCTTGCTCCTGGTGTGCCACGAGTTCCCCTCGTCCGATCCCAGCTATAGAGGCGTTTTCGCCTGCTCCCGCACGCTCGCCGGCCGCTACCCTCCCCTGCTGAGTCGGCGAGTCCCTGATTGACGTGACCCGTGCGTGCACGACGCGGTGGGCGGCTACGGGGACGGCTCTGCGCTCCGCTTTCCTCGCCGAGCAAACAGGCGGGATGCGACGCAGGCAAAGTGACGGTTTTCTCTTACTCCAGGTATAATCACGCACCGTCTGCCATTTGCAACGTACGGAGTCGCCGTCTATCGCTCCTCTACTTCCGCCCCGCGTCGCCGCGTGCAACGTCCCTCTCTCTTCGCCACGGTGACGACGTCAACGCGTCAGCGTCTCGCGTTGCATCGCGCGGTGCGAAGCGCTTATTCTCGCCTCTCTTTGTAGCCTTCGCGGCTAATCGCCTTTTTCTCCTAATCACGGCTCGTTTCCACCCATCTCCCTCCTCGTAAACGCAAACGGGCGACGTAAACTTGGGCCTGGCTCGACGACGTGGAAGGACCCTCTCTCGAGAATCAACGTACGTCCCGAATTTACAAATAAATGCCGCGCAAATGAGGGGGGAAATTCTTCCGAATTGCTCTCGATACATTTTATATCGACCCGAAAGATTCTCCGCGGGCTTTAACGAAGTGCGTAGCGCGGCTTTCGCGTTTTGTGCACACGCGGGTAAAATTGGAAAGATATCGTATCAAATTTTTCGAACTCCGGTTTCAAGCGGCAAGAATGCATGTGAGTGTTTTTATCACGGAAACATTTCAATTCTATATGTATGCATACAATAGAACAGATTATAGATAATGCTATTAACTACAAATGATAAATTTTTATCGCACTTGTTTTTTTTTATGTACAATTATCGTTTAATTTTACATCTAATATACACAAAAGCGTTTATTAAATACTGTTGCATATGTTAAATATAAGTTAGATTAAAAATAATATGTACAACTAATTTAAAATATAAAAAACAAATCAATTTTTATTTCAATGACAATTTTAAGTGTTTATTAAATATTAAATACTGTTGCTTATATTAAATAAACTATATTAAAAATAAAATATACAGCTAATTTAAAATATAAAGAAATAAAAATTAATTTTTTTTTCAGTAACAATTTTAACAGCCGTTTTGTAATCTAGAATCTAGATGTTCAAATTTCTTCAAATTTTTTCGATCACAAGAAATGCGCGAATTTTTCTTTATCATTATTGCAATAACAAACTGACGATAATAATTATACATCGATTTATAATAATAATATTTCTCCATAATTTCTATAACTTTAAAATACATTTAAAGGATCAAGTCCTACGTTAAACCAATGCTAAAATTTCACTGACCGAAAGATTCATCTATCAATAATTATTAATTCATCTTCACGGCTATACTTCAAAGACTAGATGATCGCAGAGAATAACTTTATAAGCGCTCGCTTAAACGCAGTCCCTTTCCTTGCTCCAAAAGTTCTCGAGCCTTGCGTAGACCTTCTGCACGGCGGGATTGTAATGCAATGCCTCGCATATGCGGCAGTAGTGCTTGGACGCGCTGCCGAAGTATCCGTGCTCGTTAATCACTCGATAATGATTGCGCCACTCGTGGTATCCGAGGTATCGCTCGTCGTCGCGGTCCAGATACCTGAGGTAGTCGGCGAGCGCGTTCGCGTCCGCGAAATCGTCCGCGTGGAGGTAGGAGCGCGGCGGCAACAATCGCCGGCAGTCCTGCCGCGACGCTCCCATTATTATCGGGACCGCGAATTTGCGATACGCGTTCCAGAACACTTTCTCCGTCAGGTACTCCCGGCAATTGGAGTTCTCGAACGACAGGTAGAACTTGTACGCGCCCAGGGTGGCGCAGTCCCGGTCAAAGTGGCCGGGGCAGACGGTCCTGTTGCCGCCCAGGCATCCCCCGAGGATGTCCAGGTCGCCGCGAAGCGACGACTTGAGCGCCTTCGCGTAGGTCCACCGTCCGTTGCGGCCACCGCAGTTGCTGCCCATTATAGCGACCAGTTTGGTCTTGGAGACTCTCGCGAGGGTATCCCGGTGTTTGGCCGGAAAGCTGCCGGACAGTCTTATCGTTCTTCCGTAGGGAACCGGCACGTCGCTGTCCATTCGGTAGGACATGGACCAGTTGAACAGACCGTCGTAATCCGACAGTCTTTGATTACCGGACAAAAACGTGTGGAAGGGTGACTCGTCCGTCAGGAAGATCCACCGTTGATCCGCACGGCTTCTCGCCGGTAACTCGGACGGGCTCCTCGTGAAGTGCAAATGAAACACCACGGCGTCCGCACGATGCAGATCCTTTTCGTCGTAGCTCAGCATACAATTGCACACTGAGCATTGGTCCCACGGTGAAAATCTAAAATGCATGATTTTGCAAATCTCTCTTGATGTTCATCACTATGAAAATAAATCAGATAATCGCGATTTTATCATCTTTTCAGCTGAAAACTGATACCATTTCTTATCGATTTATATAGAACGAGTTTATAATAGATTTGAAATTAAATGTATGTTGTGCGAATAACAATCGTAATATACTTAATCACTGATAAGGAATGTCGCCGCTGATATATAAGGCGTCTTTGTGCAAAGGGGATTTTGCCGCCTCTCTTAATATTTTTATTTATCAATCTTAAAAAAAACATATAAAATATATCTTTTTAAATAATTTTTTTACTAATAATTTATTAATATATAATTTTTTTTATTTTTAAATCATTTTTAAATATCTTTAGAGAAAGTGCAAAATTTTTCATTTCTGTTCTAGGATATTGATCACGTAATTTTTCCTAGAACAGTAAGGAAAAGTGAAAATTTTTACTATTGAAGTAAAGAGAAATTTTTCACTTTTCACATTTTCACTCTAGCGAGAAAGTTACATAGTCGATGCCTGGTACTAAAATGTCTTGGTTCTGTATATAAAAATTTTAGTAGCGCCAAAAAATAAACAATTATTCGGTTCAACCATTGTGATTTCTTTAGATTGATATACACAGTTTTGGGAAAAATTAAATCTGACAGAAATGAGTACACGTAATTGGCATTAAAAAAATGGAGAATTGATTTTTGAAACTTAATTTAGCGTTTCCGCTTGTTAATGCGCTTTTGTACAGTATATAATTAACTTGCACACCTGCTTGCGGTGGCTCTGATAACAATCGTAATATAATCATATTGTTTGATAAGACAAGAATAGATAAAAAATAAAATAAAATAGTCGTGTATAAAAAGTAACCTAAGTAACGACCGAAATTAGTACTGTGGATATTACGTGTATGAAATATTAAATCGCGTGAACGTCTGCCCTTATAACAGACACGTATTACTTTGAGTATCATTATTCTTGAATAAAAAAAAATAGAGAATTTAGAATTTGCCTACTTGGTGGACGTGAAATGTCTGATATGCCTGCGTTCCAAGAATTTCCCGTGTCTCCAAATCAGGATCAAATAAGTTTTATTGGCGGCATTCGACCGAGGGGGTGAAGTCCCTTCTGGCGCCAATAACCATTTCCCCAGGGGAGACATACTCTTTACCTGAGGAAAACACGCCATAAACTTACTCCTATATAATGTAGCAAATAAATAAAGAATAATCGCTAATAAACGTTTTATCTTGAGATTCGCACTAAAGCCTTGCAGTGGCAAACAAAACGTATAGCATTGTTAACTCTTTTTCTATACCGAGGTAGATTAGATTTCATATATAAGTGTCTTGCGACGCAGTTTTGACATAATCTTCTAAAAATTTGAGATAATTACAATTACCGAATTTAACATAATTATATATAATTTACATAAAACATCTCAAATTATAGAAATTATCGTTATCGTTATCGTTATTCCATTCTTTGTAATATTGAAATAAGAGTGACAAATTCAAAATTAATTTGGCCTGTGAAAGATAAAAGATTGAGTAATGATACAAGGTAGTGCAACACATTTTACCTGTTTCTCGGTGAAACCTCTCCCCAGGAGGTGCGCATCCAAGGACACTGTCCTCGCGAACTGCTGTCGCGCATTAGATTTTGTGCCGGTGACAGACCTTCTATTTTCTTTTTCTTCCTCTCTTGTGGACACCTGTTCTTTTTGCGATGCGGAAGACCTTCTGTCGGCGGTGAGAAAATCCGGGGACAGTAACAGCATGCAGAAAATCGCAGCCGTCGTACCGGCGAGCAGGACGAACGCGAACCGCGAGAACTTGCGCATAATGTTCGCCGCCGTTCATTCTATCCTGAGTGTGCGTTGAGCGACTACTGACCGGGACAGACTAAATTCTTAGTAGGTCTTATCTGCGCGTCCGGTGGTGACTTTTTTTTTCGCGGTGTTTGCGAAGATATATCGCGTCGAACAGGACGAAGGCAGAGAAAAGTACCTAGGTAATCTGTTGCATATATATATGATATAACAACTTTACTAAACTTAATTTCCAAGTGATATAAAACAGTTTACACAAATGCATTCAGAAATTAAGGAAAAAACACGAGACTGTTTTCCTTCTTTGAATGAAATTGCATCATTGGTCTTTATTGAGGAAAAGAAATTAAGGAAAAGATGAGAGATTGTTTCCTTTGGACGAAGTTAGATATACTATATTAATGCTCACGTTTTCCAGAAAGAAACAGTTTTTTTTCTTATTTTTTTTTAAACTTGCTACCTTTCGCAAAACGCAAAACGAAGTTATATATAAATTTAATAAATCAAGCAAGTTCTCTGGGAAATTGCATATTTGCGATGTTAATAAATCTTATCCCAATGCGGGCAGTAGAAACGCTAGAAACAAATTCTCTTCGCGTCTTGTCTCATTAACTTGTCACGATGAATCTTATGTAAACTCTATTAAATTGATTTTGCGACGAATTTAGAAATAAGAGCTGCGCAAAAGAGAGTTGCAGCTCTGCGTGCATTGAAATAAAACACTAATTACGAAAAACGATCACTCCGCGATCAGTCACAGTCTCGAAACTGGGACGCGATTGAAGATAAATCACTTTATTGCTGTATCAGCGAGGAGCGAAATGACGCGAGGCGCGCGGGATGATAGAAAGTACGAGAATGTCGCGGGTGCACGACTCCCGGTGCAACAAGGATACATACTGGCGCGCGACTGACCGTTGATCCCGATTGTCTTGGTTAGCCAAGCGTGACCGCCGTCCACCAGCCTCTGGACGTCATTCACCGTCGCCCGGGTCTACCGGTGGCTACCGTAGTAATATCAGTTGGTAGAAACAAGATTTGTAAACTCAAACGTCAAACACAGGCGCGCCGTTTATCAATCACGATAAAGCAATCAAATGTGCGTCTCGAAGATTGAACCGGAAACGGTCCAGAAAGCTGACAGAAAGCGGGACGAAAGTAAATAGAAAACTAGTTTCGACTGGTTTGAGTCCGATTAAATAATTTTAATAGATATATAATACTTTTTATTTTCATTATTTAACAGACTAGATGTAGTTAATCATTCTGAAGCGAAGTTAAGTCTTAGGCTTAGCAAACAAATTATTTTCTTTTTGTTTAAATCTTTGGGTGATTTTAATTATTTAATTGGACTCAAATCAGCCGAAACTAGTTTTCTATTTACTTTCGTCCCGCTTTCTGTACCGTTTCCGGTTCAATCTTCAAGACACATTTGATAAATATATTTATATATTTCCACTGATCATCTAACAATAAGCTACGTGGGAATACGCGGGCAGAAATAGAAGAAAAAATTACTGTACTAGAATTAACATCTTTAATTATATATCTATTTAATATTGCCGACATGATTTGAAAGATAAAGTTCAATGGAGTTCAAAAAGCTTCATGGTTCGGGAGCCCACACGTACACCCCACTGAGAGTCAATTATTTTTCATTCGTAACACTTCGTTCGTTTAATTAAATCTGTCACAATATTACGATTTACGCACACATTCCATCGCACGGCATCGAATGTTTCTTCTTTCCATTTAGGTATAGTACAAGAACCAAATGACGCGGAGATCACATGCAAATCAGGATAATCGTATATACATATGATACATAATATTACATAAGAATCTTGTATTATCTTACAAAAATATAATTCTTATTTTTAATATGTCGTTAAAATATGCAAGCGAAAAATATTTCCAAGAAAAATATGCTGTAGTTAATTTTTTTTATTAAGAAAATACAAAAGTTTCTTAAACCTAAATATTCGTAGCAAAAAAGAATATAAGGTAACGTCTTCGCAAATATAATATAATTAACGGAAATAAAATTGTTTAAGAAACAAAACTTGATAATAGTATAAGACTGAAATTATAAAAAGAGTCAATGAAATAATCAAATATGTACCTGTTTAATATAAATGAGTGATAACATAATCGTGCGCCAGTGTGGCGCGGCAGACAACGCACTAGTCTGTCATACCATAGGTCCCGGGTTCGATTCCTTCGATTCCCGCTGTTTGAGAAAATTCTTTATTTGTACCATTGAATATTCTTCAATAAAAGAGGTTTAATTATTGCGGCGTGGCAAACGTCTGGTATGAAAGTTAAATGTGGTTAAAAATGTAGGTTGAAAATAATAGTCATATATATGACTATTATTTTTTTATTAAATTTTTAGTCTTAATCTTAAGACTAAAAAAAAATCTTAAAATCTTAAGACTAAAAAAAAGTCTTAATTTCTAAACAACATCACTTAATAAAAAACTCTGACATGAGAGTTTTTTCCAAAGCGCGGCGCAAATGTCTGGCAACTCGATTTCATAAACGCCTCGAGGCAATTCACAATTTTAATTGTGATTTCGTCTCGCGGTGTTAACTCCTGTAGTTTTTTCTGTACTATTTTCAAATATTGTCCATTTCTTACCGGTCCCAATCTATAACGAGGAACAAGTTTGAATATTTTTTTCTGTCATACCACAGGTCCCGGGTTCGATTCCCGGTGGAACCAACAAATTTTCGTAACTTAAGGCTAGACCATGAATTTTTTAATATAATTTTAATTTTAAGAATATAAGGTAACGTCTTCGCAAATATAATATAATTAACGGAAATAAAATTGTAAAAAATAAATAAAGAACAGTCCACTGCAACAGATACAGCTTTGCATGCGAAAGTGCTTCAAATAATGCAGCGAAAAAGTTGGTATCGCAAGAAAATTACAAAAAGCGAAAAAAAGCAAAAGAAAATTCTGAAGCATCATCGAGTAAATATACGAATAACGTGGAAGTATTTCGTACTTTTACTCGATGATGCTTCAGAATTTTCTTGAATATTGCAATATTTATGAACGTAAATATTGTTTTCGTTTACGTTCGTGGCAGGACGCTAAACGGATTGCTCAGTTTCGAGACGTTGCCAGTGGATATTTCGGCACGATTTACGTGTCGGGGATCGAGGCGTGAAATTAAAATTTGTTGGTTTCACCGGGAATCGAATCCGGGACCTGTGGTCTGACAGACCAGTGCGCTGTGTGTCACGCCACACTCGCGCTTGATTATGTTATTACTCATTTATTTTAAACAGTGATATATTTCATTATTTGATTGACTCTTTTTATAATTATCATCCATTGGCGCTACAAGCTCATATCGAGCCAGGACCTACCACTCTCTTCATATGTCTGTATATATAGGAGACGCGAGCATATACATATGTTATCACTCATTTATTTTAAACAGTGACATATATAGTTCTTGAGCATAGCTCTTGAGCATATATAGATGGCATAGATAGACAGAGAAGAGCATATATAGACATAGCATAGATAGACAGAGACGAATGAATTGTAAATACAACTAATTCACTCTTCTCTGTCTATCTATGCTATGTATGTCTATACATATAGACGTTATAATAACCGCGGCGTGATGGCGTATAATTTATCCTAAAAGTTAGACACTTAATTAACTAGAAATAATTGTAATAAGAAAGTAAAATTGAATTGAGATAAAATACGCAAACGAATAATGCAAGAAATTATAATTAATTGATTCGATTAATAAACATCTTCATCTGTAAGATAGAGTAAAATATAATTATTTTACATATTTTACTTGTAAAATAATATTTACAACTAATAATATTTAGAACTAATTGACTCTTCTCTACGTCTATATATCTATGCTATGTCTATATAATATCTCTCTCTTACACGCGTCGGCCAGGGGGATCACGATTATTGTGTATCTTGAAACAAGGTAAAGAAATTACAAAAGTGAGCATATTCACTAGAATATTTTATTAACCCATATAGTGAATTTACTCGCTTTTGTAATTTTCATCAATTTCTGAGAATCGACTACGATTCCTATTGCAGCATCAGATCCCGCGCGCAACTTCATTACGATCTGTGAACGGTAATATAGAGTTCTGTAATCTAACACGGTAGATTATCGGTGATCGGAAAATCGGAGTAGCGGCCCATCCATGCAATGTCAGAGTCCGCGAGCGTTTATAAACAAACAACGTATAATTATGCTCTCCAAATTTTGGATATCGCTGCTATTGGTGACCGTGTGTTATTTATTTTCGCGCGACGACATCAAGTCTCACTTGACGGAAAGAATATTAAATATAACAGACACGCTATATTTAGGATTAAACACTGACAATTCTGGCGGACCAAAGATGTTCACTACGAGTGAACTGAAACAATATACAAATCTAGAGAATGGTTTATATCTCTCGATCTTAGGCCAAGTTTTCGATGTAACAAAAGGGAAAAAGCATTACGGGCCTGGAGAAAGTTACCATGCTTTCACTGGTAATTAGATTCCTTATGCCAAAGCACATTTAGATGTAAACACATCTATTATACATGAGTATGTAATTTGCTTATTTATTTATTTGTAGGTCGTGATGCTTCCTTGGCATTTATTACTGGAGAATTTAATGACGAAGGTTTAACGGACGACATATCTAGTTTATCGGTGCAACAAGTCAAGGCACTGCACGATTGGTTACAATTTTATAACGAAAACTACATTTACAAAGGTACAATTACTTAAACTGCCGTGAGACGCAGGAGCAGTTGATCCACCTCAGAATAACATTGTCTTAAAAGCGAAAATAATTTCGTGACAATTTTGTCATATTGTATCAGCTCAGCCAAGGATAATGAAAGGTTTTATCATAATCCCTTTCTACTGCAAAGAAAAACATTTTACGCTATGCGACCTATATAGAGCATTGCATGAGTGTGAATCAACTCGCGTGTGGCAATTTTTTAAATATTTTGTATTTTCTTCAGGAAAATTGTATGGTAGATACTATAATCAAGATGGTAGCTCGACTGCAGAGTTTGATAAGGTACAAGAAAAACTGTCAATTGCTAAAAAGGAGAAAGCATTGCAGGAGAAACAGGAAAGAATGTTCCCACCTTGTAACGTAGAATGGGTTCTGGATACTGGTACTGTTTTCTGGTGTACTGAAAGAAGGTAGGAATTTATTTAACAGTTATATTAACTGCTTTAGCATTTTTTACAAATTAGAGAAACGTGATAAATCTTTTAGTATTTAGTTACATGAGTCATTTTTGTTTAACAGCGGTGGAATTGATAGAGATTGGGTGGGAGTACCAAGAATGTTGTTCGAGACTGCAGGTGCAAAAGGTACATCTAGATGCACGTGTGTTCGACTTGACAGTAAGGAATACAAGGACAATAAGGCTAGATTTAAAGAGTACGATGGCTGTGATAAATACGCGACGAAGTGCATTTTGAGGAATAAGACATGACGTGAGAAAGTATTGTGGTGTTTTTATCTGCAGAATTCCAGATTATATATTCCAGATACATTTTATATTTATATAATAATATCACAATGCGAAAATATATAGATTTAAGATGTAAGCTTTATGCAATTTTTCATATCTTTTGTAATTCCATATTCATTACAATTAGCGCCTTTTATGAAAGTACAAATAAATACAAGATTTTGTATGAAACTCACTGATACTAGCACTAATCTTAAAATAGATTTATTTATAAGTTTAATATATAATAACATATGTGATATGAATAATGGAATTATGATAATAAAAAAAAACAATTACATTTTATCTTAAAAGAATGAAGCCTTGCACTTAAATCTTCAAATGATCAGTCTTTTTGCTTCCATTCTTATTATTGAGAAAACAATAATGAAAAAATGATTTTAAAAAATTATTTTGTATTACACATAAGAATTCAATATATTTATGAAAAATGCATGTTTCCATTGTTACTTAATAATGTATGTATGAATTTCAAATTGAATCTAAACTACAAATGCAACGTGTGGTACGAACAATGTCGAAGGCTCCTGTTTCTTCATTGCCGGTCTGAATTACGCCAGAAGTTATATTAATTTTTTTTTGGGTGTGTCCAAATAAATAATTATTTGTTCGATGTCACAATTCAATGCAGATGCAATGAGGAAGTAGAAGCTCTGAAGGAATAAAAGATACATTATTACTCCTTATAATATGACATGTATATTGCGAATAATATAAGCGAGACTAAATCTCAAACATACGAATAGATACAATTTATCACACATTATTTATGGTCCTTATACCCTCGTAATTCAGAACATATAAAAATCTACGATGCAATAATCTCAATTTAAATGCCTGGACAGAAAATTTCATACAGCTTAACATTCTCACTAGATGCAAATGCAAATTTCTATTTAAATATATTAGCTCCATCTTAAAAATATAATTACAAAATAATTCTAATACTTCTTGATATTTTTTTAACGCAATCTTTTTTATGTTCTCACATGAATATAAAAGATGCAAGTATAAGAAGTACAGTTCGTGGAATCCTGAAGTACAATAGCGTGTTATCCTTCAGAAATGTTTTTAATTAAGCGTTGGCATCTAAACGTCATAGAATCTGATATCATTTGAGTTCACTATCGATTTTCATTGGTTGAACTCTCTCGGATACTATTTAACTTATCTACAAGAGCCTGCATTGAACCATTTGTCTTGTACCTAATCTTAGATCCGAAGACCTTCTTTATCTTCGCGCGTCTCTTTTTTAGCTTCGAAGCGGTAATCGAGAACATCAACGTTCTCTTGAACCTCTTCGTACTCATGTGATATTCAGTATCGTCGCCCGCAGTATCGTTCTCCTCGTATATCGTCTCAAGATTATTCGGCTTCTTAATTATATTCTTGTCTAGATAATATTCCTTGACGGTCTCTTCCTGCTCCTCCACCTCAGAGATCCTCCTCTTTTTCGGTCTGAGGCTACACCTTATTGACACACGAGGTGTTATTAGATATATGTGAAAGTGTATCGCAGTCTAATATAAAGTTATCTGTTACCTTCGATTAAGAATCTCTGTAGAAACAGGCTTGGGTATTCTTTTTCTAAGAACCCTCTTGGTTTCTGTGGATGAAGAGCTAGTGTCTATGGTAAGCATCTCTAAATCAGCTGTTATCACAGGTACATTGGTATTGTCTAAACGATCTACAGAGATCCTGAAAAAAAAAATGAAACGGCTCTTAACTTTTCTTAAAAATATAATTTTTGTTCTTTCCAAAGGATGAAAAGATCTCTCAATGTATCTCAATGTTTGCATGTAAATTGGAATCGACGACAATTTTTATAATTGTCAAGTAAAAAACTTACAAACCGGAAGAGAAAAAACAGAAACGTAAAAATGTTTTGCGAAATTCTCGAGTGGAATCTTTCTCCGAAACTTACGGCTTTTCCGTTTGATTCTCGTCCATTTGGAGCGCTGTAAGGACCTGATCAAATACGCTTATCAAGGAGTGTCAGATTTTTCGAGCTCCACGGTGAACCCTTCTTCATCGGAGACACACTGCGTCTTTCATTTTCGAGCGAGGTATACAGAAGATAGCAAAAAAAAACGAGATCAAACAAGAATGACGCCCGGAAAATTCGTGGAAAATGCGTGTACGTGGAGAAGGTACTCCTTCACGCGGAACGCATAGGACGCTTAAACTTGCATCACTTGCAATATCAAAAAAGAAAACATTCTCCTGGGGCGATTCAATGGCACTGTTTCCTCTTTCTTCGTGTGTAACGTATGCTCCCTTTGTCGAAAGGAGGGTCAAAGAGGGCTCGTTCTTTGCAAGCTGAAAGCTGAAACTTGTGATCTCTCTCGTGTGACTTTTACAATTTTTCTCTGCTCTCTCTCTCACGTCTGCGGGTGTAATTCTGTCATTTCCGAGTGTCGAAAGTGCAAGTAGGGCATGGGAATGACGCGAGCGCCACGGCCGCTCTCGGAACTCCCTCTCCGGGCCGCGTCTTCACACCGCGTCGATAACGGGCTCTCGAGCGGCGACCTGCCTTGCCGATCGCATGTCGCAGCTGCGGAGTGCGGCAGTAGGTTGTAGGTTATGTCAGAGCGCGGACGGGGAGAGCTCGTCGCGCGATTTGTTTTGTCGCGCAGCAGAGAGCCCCGAGGGAAGTATGGCGATGTGGGAGAGCGACAAGTTCCAGGAGGACGACAATGCGGACGGTATCGGGGGCAATTTCGACAATATCCTCGTGACGCACGATCTGCAGGACTGCCTGGACGACACCCTCGACCTGTCCAGCTTCGAGAGGGTCTACGAGCAGAGCGCGGTGTTCGATTACGAGAGGTACTCCGACGACGATGCTGCCGCTATCAACGAGGGGCTACCTGTCGATGACAACACGGTCGAGTGAGTCCCTCCCCGATTGATGTTGATGAGAAAGTTTTTTCGGGCGAGATCTCGGATCTTTTCGCGCTCCCTCTCGTCCCTTACGCGCCCGCTGGGTCGCCTCCCGCGGTCGGACCTACGCGGAGTTTATCCCGCACCGTCGATATTTCCTTCGCACCCTCGTCGGTATTCCTTGTCACCTCCTTATAAGGCTATACGAGCTTCGAAACGACAGCTTTAATTCATAAATCGCTGGATCGAGGGGAATCCGGGAGTTGGAGCACTTCGACGGCTGTATCGCCCGTGTATTTCGCCGTCCGTGTTCCCGGAGACTTTTAAATTTTGGCTGCTGCTGCATAACAACTTCAAAATAAGCCATATGTCACATATATATTGTTACGCGTTTTGATAACAGGAATGCATTGTTTTTTTTTTCCTATTTGTTTATAACATATATTTTCTTATTTGTTTGTATCCGGACAATGAACTACAATTTTGCATAATTGTATAATTATGTATAATTTTTTAATCATTTTATGATTATTTATTACTATTGTTTTATTATAGGAATATTATTTGTAGATAAGTCATAATACTTATCTATTGGCAATCTGACAATTAATTGCATTCTCTTCTCTTGTTGTTACTACAATTGAAAACAGATGTTATATTTGTTATAAATTTAGTTTTGATATCTATGTATATGCAAATTATTACTCATACTATTCTACTATATACTTAATCTGTTAGGAAAATCTAATAGTAAAATTGGCACATTGGTGAAGTCTGTCGAAAAGTCTTGTAAAATATGTTTATATTTATATTATTTCATAAAAATTATTTTATAAATATGTTTATAATATAATTTATTGTTAATTATATCTTTATATACGGCAAGAAATATTATTTAATTTAATTGTAAAATATTTGGAAAAGAATATAATTTAGAGAATATGTAAAAGGAATGTGTGTATATATATATATATATATATACATATGCGTACATATATCGCAAGTATGTATTTATTGTGTATTTATAGGCATATCCATCACAGCATCAATCCAAATGAAATTTATATGCGAATACATCAAGAACAGGAAGATGCATTACTCGACGATCATGCAACCTCTCACGAAACTGTCACGTTTGAAAATATGGATCCGGACGTTAATCAGAAACATATCAATCGTTATAATTGTCAATACGAAGGCTGTACCAGAACGTATAGTACCATTGGAAATTTGCGTACACATATGAAAACACACAAAGGTAAATTTTTAAGAATAACTTTTTGTTAGGAATATATATATTTCATAGAATTTTTGATAATAGATGTGTTATATAAAATTAGAATTTTTTTTTAGAGAATTTTTTCATGATAAAATGTTTCTAACATATATTTAAAAAAATGTAACTTGATAGTACAAATGATTATCTTAATATATAATTACTTTTGGCATATTTTCTAATTTATATTTAATATTTTTTAAGATCTTTTATCTTATTTAGAATATTCATCTCGGCAATGAATTTTCATTCTACCATTGTGTATGTTGCCTCATCTATGATTGTCTGACCTGTTATCATTACAAAAATCATCATGCTTTGCATGTTGTGCTTGTCCAATGTGCAGTTCGTTCTATCTGTTATACTAACAAATTACATGTGCTCTTGTTTTTGCATATTCCATGGATGAAAGAATCCAGGTAAGCCATACTGCCACGTGTGCGATGATTCTAGCAATAAAATAAAATATATATTTATACATTTTTGTTTTGCGCAATTGATATTAATGCTGGTATAAAGGGAACGCTTTGACCTGCATGGCTTTCAGATATACTGCAAGAGATAGCGTAGACCTGCAATCTTTTTATGCGGAGGGAATTCTCAAAACTTTCAGGCGAGTATCGATTTAAATGCGCAGAGCCGAGTTGCGGCAAGGCCTTTCTCACGTCCTACAGTCTAAAGATCCACATTAGGGTACACACAAAAGTAAAACCGTTCGAATGCAATCACAAAGGCTGCGAGAAAGCGTTCAATACCCTTTACAGACTGAGAGCTCACCAAAGACTTCATAGTGGCAACACATTCAACTGCGAAGAGACTGGATGCGTTAAATTCTTCACTACTTTAAGCGATCTCAAGAAACATATACGTACTCATACTCAAGAAAGACCGTACAAGTACGTGTTTCGGTACTTCTTATAATATTAAAGAACAAAAAAAAATAGGAGAGGACATTACAAATCATTATTTCTACACATTAAATAAATAAAAAACAAATCATAAAACTTGGCTAGATTCTGTCTAAAAGCTATTATACATATTAGATATTTCACAAATATTTAGTATTATCATTTCTCGTTTATTTCAAGATGCAGAGAGAAGGGTTGCGGAAAGGCTTTTACGGCTTCACACCATTTAAAAACGCACAAAAGAACACATACCGGCGAACGGCCGTACGTCTGTAACTTTGAAAATTGCAAACGACGCTTTACTACTCCTCATAGTTTAAAAAGCCACATAAAAACACATAATAAAACTGTGAATAACGATACGGTAAGTATCGTAATAATAGAAATATTAACAATAAAGTAATAATTTAATCATATTAAATCCTTAATTTTTTTTCATGGCAGAAGCATAAAGATACTAACAGAGGAGACACGGCCGAGAGGCAGAAAATGTTAACTCAATTAGAATTGAAACTTGTAAAAGTCAGCGCGAGCAACACCACTATACCGTCGTATGCCGTTATACCGATATCTACAGATCTCATGCCAAACGATGGAAACATGCCATATGCATCCGCGAAAGATGCAGCGGGACAAATAACTCCCACTAATGTAATGGATATTATGACTCATCGCAAGTTGGATGCAAAGCTCGGTTATAATTCTACCAAAGACAAGGATTCGAGCGGGACTGCCGGAGTCGCGCTTCTCGCGACGGACATCGTTTTAGATAATTTTAACGAACACGCAGTTTTCAACAACAGCGAGGACTATCAGAAATTTAAAGTATTTAACCAAATGACTGAATCAAATGCGCAACATGATAATTTAATGGACGCCGTAGCTGCTGGGCATCAGAATCATCCGCACAAGTCAGCTTCGCTGTCGGAAGCGCACGGCGACAGTGTAGCCGGGCAGGACCGATCTATCCCGATGAATTTAGGGCAGAAGATTATGCAGGATGGTTTGCAAAATGCAATTGCACACATTTCCGAGGGAACGAGTTTCACGGGTAATTTGAAACAGTATAAGAACGAGTCCATCACTGCTCCCGACGATGTGTTTGCAAATCGATCAAACGCGGAGAATATATCTGATAGCGGCAGCGCGTTATATAGTGCCAATTGCATTACTAGTCATATTACCGATATTATAAGTTCCTCGAACGAAGCCCACCTTTTCGAGAGTGGAATGGACACTCTCTCGTCGTTCATCAATGACGCGAATTTGCAAAACGAGTCCCTCATCGCGGTGTCGAATCACGACTTGCACGCGAACGCTGCTGTGAACGCCCAGTCCGAGGCCGTTGAGCTCGCGATAGCGACCGAGGAGGAGTTACCTTCCTCGTGGATAGACGTGATGGCACTGGCAACCGCGCCTGCGTTGAGGGCGCAATCTTGGTCGGAACTGAACGCCTTTCCCACGGTTCATTCTTTAGTGGATCTAGTGGGCCCGGAGCCTTATCCACTGGAGATGGAGACTCAATTGCAAACGTCCGCGGAAAGTTTGAAAAATGTCGACGCGATGAATACGCAGCACCCTACGGCGAGCATCGATATTATGGAATGCCAAAGGATCGCGGAACACGAGCACAAGGCAGGTAACATAAAGAGCAAGGACAGAAATATTCTGCAGGAGATCACGGCAGAGGCTGATATATGTAAATGTGTCGATTGTAAATGCAACAACTTGCAAAATTGTCAGAACTGCACGAGCACCCCGGTCGGAGAGGTAACGAAAAAAGACACGGTACAAATCGTAAATGACATTATGTCTTCTTTGCAAAATAAATGTTCCTGCAACGCCGAGCCCGGTGGTTGTGACTCTTGCTGTGTTGTAATCTGTCTAAAGACGCTGCAGCAGCTACAGAAAATATTTAGCAACTGTTGTAGTAAGAGTACTAGCAATGCCGCGAACGCATGCTGTAGGGAAAAGTTGTTACCGTCTTCGATGAAATGCCAACTAGCCAGAAATCAGTGATCCGCATACGTTCTTTATTAATTTTTAACTAGTCACGCAAAAAAAAAAAATTAATGCTGTATTTCTATGCTAATCCCCCAAAAAGATTTGTGATTTTACACCTGATAGCTTTAAATTGGGCAACTTTTGCCTTTCGAATATTTTATCTAGGACGAATTGAGAATATGCGACTGTGTACATACATGTGTTATATCTGAGTTTGTTAAGGGATTCTACATATATTCTATGTAACGTATTCTTATACGTTATTTTGTGCCAAATATTTGTAAACTTTTTACAAAAGAGTATTTATACATACAAAATTACTGTTGCATAATTCATAATAATACACAAGATATTCGCACAGTTTCAAGATAATTGTTTGCCTAAACCTAACTTAAAGAAAAATAATTAACTGATAACACACAAGGATACAACGAAAAAAAAAAATTCCCAGTGTGCAATAGTTTTTATACAAGTTTTGACATGATCAAATGTTTTGTAAATAGATTCAGATTTCATAATTTTCTGTGTGCAATGTAAAAATGGATAGATGGCATCTTTTGATATCTGAATCACAAATATGCTGTTTCCTGTACAATTGATCTATAATATTTGCTGAAGAACTTGTCACAAATTTAAGAGCATTGAAAATATGTACAGCATATTAATGATATCTTCTTTTTCTAATTTTTATTTATAATATATAAATACAAAAAATGATAGTAATAATAGTTGTATGTTTAAGAATTTTATTTATTTAACTCTTGAATGTGTATGTTCCCGAACTATAGCGTTAACCCTAGGAATATTATTCTACCTTATTGTTGTTTATATGTAAACGCCGATGAGAAAAAGCTTTCTGCTAGTGCACGTTTACTAAAAAAAAAAAAATAAGAAAAAAAACTTGATATTTTCTCGGTTAATCAGAAAATGCCAAATAAACATCCAAAGTGTTTGTAACGTTATTGCTGTAACGTTAATAAGATACCAAGTTTTTAGGTTTTAACTAGAGTCTAGCGTTTTAAGTTTTGCATTATTGTATAACGAAATAGATCGGAGAAATGTTAATTTTTAACAATTTTAGCGTGAAAATTTGTATGGCTGTTACAAGTACTTGCAATAAAAAATCAATGTACCTAAATAGCTTGTAAATAGCAGCATATTTATTATGTTGTTAATGAACAAATATAAAAACTAACTCAATAAAGAGTCTGTAACAACTGCCCCTCTACACATCTCTCCTTCGTGCATCTACAATTAATTTGAGTATAAAATAAAATTTGCCACAACTGACGTTTTTTTTAATAAATATACATGATTTAACACATTTTTATTGTTGCTACACTGTCATACAACAATATTACGATTAGAATGTGTTGTACACATGCCTCTCTTTCTAACAGCGTGTCGAAGTAAATATGTATATATATGTAATTCCATATTACTTGATAACATTCATTGTGTAGCTTGCACAAGTGCTTCCGCAACTTCAACCGCAATAGCTGCTTCAGCCTTGTCTACGTCCGACGTTGCCGAGGATAGCTGTTGTTGAGCTTTGTTAAGAATGTCTCTCGCTGCCGAACCGTCGAGGCTTTCCACCGGATGGGCTTCCTCCGCGAGAATCTACGGAGGCGTGGCAAGCTGCTTTAGAATCCGACGGAGAAGCTTCTTATACCGAGTTCATTTAGAGGACCCCGTACACATTGCTCGATTCGTACCTGTACACTGTTGTCTTCGTTAATGGTAATCGTGCCAGAAGAGACAAAGATTTTCTTGGTCGAGCCGTCCTCCTCGAAAACTGTAACCACACCGGGCTTCAAGACCGCTAGTGTGGGCACGTGCTTCGGTAGAATGCCAAAGGCACCCGAGAAGGAGGGTACGTCGACTTGCCGAACTGATTCCTGATCGTAGAACACCTGTGGTGCCCGAGAAGGAGCGTATTAAAAACGTTTCGCAGTTATGACTGTATATACTTTGTCACCCTGTCGCAATTTCCATACCTGATTAGCGCCAGCGAACGTAAACTTCATTTGATTGCCGGGCGCAGCGTCTGCATAGGTTCTCCTCTGGCTGCGGACGCACCTCAGGAGGGGACGCAAAGTGCGTGCGAGGTTGGACATTTCGGCACACTGAAAACGATTGATATCCTTTTCACAGAGAGAAACAACGTCTCCTTCACACTATCAGAGAGGCTGTTACATCACAAGGACGGGATACCCATCGTCGTACCCACATAACCTCGTTTTTCTAGCTTTCACCCGCTCGGACGACAGTCCACCGAGCGCGAACGAGCTCGAATTACTGCGGTTTCACATTTTCTCGTTCACGAGAATAAGATCATTGTGCTCACCTGTATACTCGTGTTTTAAGATCCTGTGAATATCATAAATATATGGGCCTGTACGGGGAGCGCAGGTGATTCTCACAACTCTGATCGACCGCGCGAGATGAAGCGGTCGGTAACGAGGTTCCGAGTTTGTATCATAGATGCCGCTGGTATCGTTTGGGGAGTTGGTAAGTTATTCGGTGTACTTTCTCCACTTTAGAGTGGAGCAGCGGACTGGAATGGACGCGAGTCGCTAAGTAAGCGTGTGTGTGTATGTGTAGGAGATGTTGGCGGTGTTTTGGGGATGTTGCAGCGGTATTTGATGCGGGCGAAGAAGGGTTCCTGATATACGAATGGTACGAAATAAAGGGCCTTTTTTGAGATTTCTACGTTCTTCAGATTTAAGACGCGATGGGGAAGCAACGCTGTTTGGAAGGACGCTTGGACGCTGTTATCCGCGTCTTTCCAGATAGCACAGAGAATTCAAAAAGACTTCGCATATTCATTGTCAGTCTTATATCATCAATGCTGAGTTAATTTTCAGACGCAAAAGTAAGTCTTTTTCTACAAGTTCTGAAAAAGAATTCTGTTTTCACCTGAAAATTAACTCGAGATAGCGTATGCGATTTATTGTTTACTCCGATCCGACTCCGAGTCGATGGTCTGTTTTGTTTTATCTGCGAAAGAAGAGCTACTGTGCAAAAAATGCAGCTAAAAAGACTATTGACTCAAAATCGGGTCGTGTCAACAAATCGATCGAATACGCTATCAGCAGTAGTATTCTGTATATACATGCTACCGATATGATTGTCGGTGTCGTTGCGCAGCTTTTTTTATTGTAAGAAAAGCTGCGCGACGTTATCGACAATCATCAATAGCGTGTACAGAATACTGCACCAGAATTGATGACTATATACTATTACGATTGATTTTTTTTTAATTTTCTGTTTGGGTTTCTATATTTATCATTTCTATATTTCTCATTGGACGTAAAAACAAAGGTAGAATGGTGCAACAGCGCGCTTCCCGAATATGCCTTTTTTTAGTATTTTCATAAAGATTTCTGTAATTTATAATACTTATCGTTTCTCTTTGTTTCTCTTTTTCTAGCACTCGTCGAAGCAAGTGACGGTACCAGCGGTGAGTGAATTTATTTACGATTATTATACGACTAATTATGGTCACGAAAGCTAATTGTGTATATTGGTGATGGATTTGTTATTTCGAAGTCTCTGACAAAATCTGATGGAGAATTCATTAGATGTATTATTATATTGCAATAATACGATACTTACAATAGTTCCATCAAGTAAACTTCATGCAATCATAGTATTAATTGGATAGAGATTTCACAAAGCGTTTACGTATACAAATTAATCGAAATATGCGATAGTAATTAGCAATATTCGCGATTATTTTCTATTACACAGTTACGGTTTATTCTGCCGATTGTGTAATTATAATGTACAATATAATAACTTATACGTTATAAAAATCACTTAATTGTCTCGTATTTGAATCACGATTTTAGGTTACTTGTAAAAAGCGTGTATAAGGAGTGTCAAAAAAAATGTCGGATTATTGCGCCCGAAGATTCTCGTGCAATTGTTTACTCGCGAGAAAAAACTCGGTTTTCCCTTACTTTAATAAACGTAAAACGAGAAACATTTAAAAACTTATGCTGTATATAAGTTTTTTATTTTCAACAATAACAATTTTACAATAAAATACATTGACTTTTTTTTTACTAAAATCTATCTAGAGAAATCTGGAGGATTTTTAACATGCGGTTAAAGCTATATAAATAAGTGATTTGTTTGATTCGAGTTATAAAAATACATTTACAATTATTAATTCATATTATTAATAATCGGGGAAATTTTCAATGATAATAGTTGCTATGAAATTGTTAAGAAATAGCGAGGAACGATATTATTTCTTACGATTAGTTTCAAAATAACATATCCTTCTGTTTAACATCTTAATGTTTAAAATTGACTTAGAAAAAAATGACATTGTGTTTACGATTATCATGTTCACTCTAAATAATCTATTTATCACAGACAATGACATTTTTTTCATCGTAAGATAAATCTAAATCGCGAGATTATTAGATTATTAAATAGTTAGAGCCGTCTATGGCAGTTACTGCCAAGCAAAAGGTTCGGGCTCTATTACCGAACTTGCCATCTCACATTATGGAACATTAGAAATTTTTAATGGAAAAATATTCCATTAAAGAATATGGTAGAAACAAAATATTTAAAATATTTATTTAATTCCAAGATAACTGGTCCCGTCGCAGTATCAAATATTATAAGACACTTTGAGACAATTCGTTGCTTTCTATATAAGTCTGACTCTTAATCCCCGTCATTGGTTTCGACATTGGAAACATTAGCGTTTTCTGAATGCCAGGAATTTATGTGCCTTTCCAAGTCTCTCCTCCTGACCAAAACTTTATCGCACATATTGCACTTGTAACGGCTGTCGCCTGTCGCGTGCAATCTGACATGCTTATTGAGATTACTGGGATCACCGAATCTGTGCTGGCAAAAGTGGCACTTCAGCGGCTTGTAACCTGTATGCGTCCTGATGTGAATGCGAAGTCCGTACTTTCTCGAATATATTTTATCACAAAATATACATCTATATCCGGCACCGCATTTGCCCATGTCGCTGGCGAGCGTCTCCACCTCCGCGGGATCCTTCTTCTTGGGTTCCGCTTGTACGCTGGGATGCGCCATGTCGTAGGGTAGGAAGCTACTCCTGTAGACATCCCGATGCAGCAGAGCCTCGTAGGGCCTCACAGTCAAATAGCGATTTCTCTCTGTTACGTTCTCGATGGATGATTCGTAGGTCGACGAGCTCGGTAAGATTTCCATCGGCGGGGATTTTACCGAGGAATACGGGGGTATCGGTGAGGGTCCGTTCGAAGATACGGACGATAATTGATTCGACGAAGACGGTGAATCGTTCCTTAACGAGCAAGTGGTAGTGTCGATCGTTTGCACCGGATACGTTGGAATGCCAATCGGTAATGCTATCGGTTTGGAAACGGGCAAGGGTTTCAGCTCGAACGTGAAACTTTTTGCCGAATATTGACTGAAGGACAGATCCGTTCTCGAGGAATTAACGATCTTATTCGCCAAAAGCATCCATATGTAACTGTTATCCATTCGATTGCAATCCAACGCTAAATGCAACTTTAGAGGATTCGGATAATCGAAACAACTGTTGCAATTATGGCACATGTAAACCTGACCTGCAATCATTCAAATAATAATCTATTAATATAATCATCTATACAGTTTATTAATAAACTTATTCAATTTTTGAATAATACATTTTGTTATTTTTTTTCATTATTATTAATGCAATTTAGGAGTTTACTTTTTGCTAATGTTTCCGTTAAATTTGATTATCGCTAACGAATGTCATGTTATCAATGTAAAATCTATTTTAAAGAAATTGTATCTAATTAATGTCTAACTATGAGCTAGTAAGATTAGATGTTATTGTTTAATCCTTTTTACTAAAGAGCAAAAAATCTTGTAATTTAATTTTCTAATGGCAATTAATAGTGAGATGCAAGATATGACAGCAAGTTGAAATTAAAGAATCGCCATCACTAATTTACACCAACTATGTCAGTTTGGCTATATGAGATATAGATTAAAAAATTTTTATTGAATAACATTTTTTTAATTTTTCATTTTGTTGTCAATTTACAAATATTAATAACGAACTGATTAGACTTTTTGATTAGATTAAAAACAGCACAATGAGAAATTCTATTGTATTGTAATTAATTTTGCATTAGCATTAATTAGATCCTATTTAATAAAAAAGTTTTATTTAATGTGTATGTAGCTGCAGCACTATTTTATAAATTTTGTAAATTAGCTTATAATTTTATAAATCTTTAATTGTAAAGTATAAATATCTACAATATGTTGTAATACTTGTATACTTTTAAATTGCATTAATGTACGATAATAATGTAAACATAATAGATGAAACTTATTATAACTAGAAGGAATTAATGTTAAAAAAATTAATAGCTGTTGTAAATTATATATTAAGGACAATATTTATAATAGTAGAAAATTAGCGAAGAGAATTATAATAAGTTTATTGATGATATCACACGAAAAAGTTAAACTAGCTTAGAGAAATCCTTTTCGGAAACTCCTACCTTGAATATTGCAATTCATCGGCGTTAAAAATGGAATGTTCAACATCGTCAAAATAGTTTCCTCGAACCACATTAATAATGGTTCTCCTAATGCTATATCCTTTGTTGCTTTTAACACGAGTTCGCCATTGCTAATTGTAAGTAGAACGTTGTAATTTTGGAAATCTGTCGCCAAGGTGATAAGTTTTAGCCAACAAGATGGGCTTATAGATCCATTGAGACAGTGAAGACGACCGCCAGCGTCAATAATTTCAATGACACTCTAGAACATTGATATTTAAATAATTTGAAGAACTTATTAATATTTAATAGATTTTAAGTTAGAGTTGTAAAAATAAAATCTTGTTCTGTGAGTATATGATCTCACAAGATTTATAATCTCTACTTCAACGTACGCCTTGAAATCTCTCGTACTACAAACGTTGAATACGAAAATATTTTATTAAAGCAGAAACTCTTAAGACAAAAACTTTAGTTCTTCTAAATAAAATAAAATAGAATTTTTAGTACATACATGTTGAATGACCGATGTATTTCCTTCAGACAACGTATTGACAGGGATAATTTCCGTTGTGGAGTTTCGCTTAAGAAGTCCAGCAGCTCGAACGAGCGGTCTGCTCAAGAAGAAGTTCGGCCTTCCGACCATGGATAGATTGACATATTCCTGCTCTAGGTGTTTTTGTACTTGATATTTTTTAGATAAAGTTCTTTCCAGTTCTTTGTTTCTTCTTGTTATCGTTTCGTATTCTGATACCACGGGATACATTACTCGCGCGTGCCAGTCGAAAGTTTCTGTAGAACAATTCTGACAATGAGAAGAGTCTGAGATACTGCCTTAGAATTATCTCTTCACACACTCTTCTTTAATCAGTCCTCTTTATAAACGGTGTTTCCGAAAAACGCATCAGAATGTTGGTGATATTTTTCTGATTACATTAAAAATATTTAATGAAATTTAAGTTACACTGTAACATTTCACAAAATTCTGCAGAACATTCGCGTACACTTATTGTCACAGTGCCAAGATTTTTTCAAGGCGCACCTTGAATCGTTACGTACGTTAATGATCCGCATAGTCGTGATACGAAGTTAAGACATCAACTAACGTAGAGGCACATTTCATGCATGCTTTAAATCTGTACTGGAGGTGGTGCCTGATTTTGGTCATTGGTTTAGCCGCGTGTGTGCTCTCCCCTCTGCTCTTCTCTATATGAGTAGATACAATACGTATATACGTAATTGTATTTAGGGCCGGCAGTAGACAGGCCCTTCGACTGCTTGCGAATCATGTCGTTGGTGCAACCGTGGAATGGGAGGAGCTAGAAGCTGGTCGTAGGTTCGTTTTTGGGGATTTTCTGCTTGCTGTAGCAGGTGCTACTTTCTCGTCACGTGGTATCACCTTGTCAAATAAAGAAGCAACAATTAAAAATTGAAATATATATGTATAAATATGCAAAATATTTATTTATAAATAAAATTAATCTAAATATAGATTGCATCGTATTTACTACAAGATGTTCTTATAAAAATAGTAATTAACGTATTGCACGTCTTGATTTTAATTATATATTATTGCAAAGTATAAATTGTCAGGATTTTGATAAAAACGGCAATGATGAGTGTACACAATTCGCGGATCGGTGTGGTAGAAGCGGACCTTCAGTATACTCTCGATAGGGCTATAAAAGCCTCATGTGAAAAGACATTGTTTGGCTCAGCTGCAGCCCACTATGCGTCTCCAATACGAGGGATCGACCGAAAGGTGCATCTGAATCAACGGTTGATTAGGAAATTAAGTGGCTTATTCTTCCCGGTGGTCCAAGCCGGTGATCGCGTAGGCGCGATATCGTTCGGATTTGTCTAATCGTCCGTCGATCTCGATGCACCCAGTACTTTTCGGCGTTATCTTGCCAATATCTCTCTTTCTCTCTTCCTTTTTTTATGTATGCATGCAGTAGATAATCTCTCGTAAAACGTTTTTCGCCGGACACGATGTACTTATCGTTTTAACGATTAAATTAATCATCCATTTAACGAATTGTCTATACATCATTTGAATATAAATCCCAAAGCAGTATATTTCGCGTGGTTTTTATTTTTTATATCGAAAATGAATAAAAACGATTATATGTACGTATATGTTTCATATATGTATATATATTTGATTTTGTATCTAGTTGATCAGATATTTTGTGAATGGTGTCGAATTTAAATATGATCTCGCGAATTCTCAAGATACGCTTTCACGAAGCTACACAAATCAGGCACGTAGCTTACTAGCCTGATTCGGAACCAGAAAAGGGGCATGGTTCCTTCAGGCCGCGAATCTCTTTCATGAATGACGTGATTCATCCGCGTGTATGATGTCGGAGCAGGGAATGACACGAGTGTTCACAAGCCGCACCATCCCCTGCATCAACCCCTCTCTGATCGCTGGAAACTCGAGCACGAGTGTTTCACCATTCTCTCGCGCCCTAAAATGCGGCAAGTGTTTTCAGACCCTTGCACGATTTCGTGAGTAGGAAACACAGAGGTATGAAAGACTCGGGTACCTTAATTGTCAGTAAAGGCGTAGCCATTTAGGAAAATATGAGGTGAAATGTGGACATGCAAAATTTACTAAATTTTTCTGATATTTATCTGTCAAAATCTTTTTTTTAACAATATACTAATTCATACGAATGTAAAATAATTTGGTAAATTAATTATAATTAATTCTGTATGCAATAATTTTTTCAAACAAATTATTAGTATTTATACACCTAATATATAATGTGATATATATAATATTTATATATAATATATAATAGATATATATAATATATATTATATATAATATATAATAAATATTTATTAATATTTATAAAATATTATATATACTTACTTTTTTCGGAGTTTGCTGATAAATTTCGTTTGTCGTCTCGCACTGCGACGGAGGGTCGTTCCCTCTGGTCGTCTAGCTCTTTCTAAAATCAGGGTGCAATTCAGACAACCGCGGAGCCAGCAAGCGAGCAAGTGTTCCGCCGTGACCAATGGGCCCCTTGCACGCATGTGTGCGCTTCCCAATGCGATATTAATATCGCGATTATCATCTACGTATTATCGCTGCACCCTCAAGGGTGGGATGTTCAAAATAAGCCTACGCGGAAGCACCCCTCCGCGCGATCTTGTATTCGCGCACCAAGCCGTGCACCAAGCACCCGGTGTGACGAGAAGACGCAAGTGCATTTCGGCCTTACATGAGAGATACTGTTTTCTAATTAGGAAATTCTTTCTTGTATATTAAAAATTTGAAAACTGTCTAGTGAAGAAAGAGAAACAATATTATTTTTTAAAAATAATTATATATATATAATAACTTATATATATGATATTTTATAGAGATAATGATTTTTGATAATATTACTGTACGATATAAGTTCCTTGCATATTATGTTATTATTGTTATAATTATTATGATATATAGAGACGATATAATAAATCTTAAAAACTATATTCAACGTACACATTGTTACATTTTTCTTCATGAATAAGACTTAAAAAAAAAAGATATTAGTTCGATGATATGTAGATAGACTGATATAAAAACTGTGCACCATACATTATGAACTTTCTATATTGTATCGTCGTTATCGATAAATACATTTTGCATACTTTTAAAAGTGCATAGAAACAGTGTATGCGGTCGTCGCTAACGGGAGATGTGCGTGCACTTGGAATCTTTTGCCACGGGGACACGGAACCAATCTCATTGTTCTGTGTCCCTTTACTGAAATCCTGAGTTATGGTCGCGTTTGCGGGGAGGTGGTCATAAAGGTGATTCGTCGCGGTTCTGCAAGTGTCAAAAGTCTAATGCTGCCTCGTACGAGACGGTGGCTTATGTGTTATTAATATTCGCTGCACAAATCGCGCTAGGCCTGCCAGTTGGTAACTTTAGTCGGATAAACAGTTATCGAAAGATTGTCAGTAATAATCTTTTAGGATTTTTTATTTATTTTAATTTATATTATATTCATTATATTGTGAAAATATATATTGGAACAATTTTACAATCGTGATATTATTAATAATTGTTATAATTATAAATTAATAATAATGAAATATTTAATTTTACAAAATTTTATATATATAAAACATTTTTTTAGTAATCTAAATTAACGCAATTGATGTATTTTTAAAGAAACTTCGCAAGTTTTTCTGCATTGCATTCCACATGCAAGAGAAGTCAAAGTGCACTTCCGGCTGTACACGTGCCACGTCGACATATTGCTCGCGTCCCGTAGAAACGAGTGCCGTGTAACATGACACGTGACCGCCGAATACCCCACAGATTCTCCATCCTGATCACACGCCCCGCGTTTGAGGCAGTATTTAACCATTAGGAACTGTTTACTTGATTTTAAGAGTCAATTCAATTTACTTGACTGTCCACGGGTAAATATTAAAATACAATAGTATTTCGTTTTCAAACTAATAGCGAGATGTTTTATAAAATATAAAGTCACTTAATTATATAATAAATTTTAAACACTTTTATTGTATGTATAAATATTGATGTAGAAGCCGTAAAGTTAAATTAATAGAAAAATAAAATGTGTCTTGTTCGAAAAATTACGCTGGCTCGTATTTTTACAGTAGGTGTTTTTAAATTTGCACGTGTCGTATCCGCAGCGAGAAAAAAATCACGTGAAGGTGCAGATGACACGGGTCACATGACAAAATAATGTCGGAGCCCTCGTGGCATACCAGTCCTGGTGCATTGGACATCTTTTACCCCTCTTCGTTCAGCGTGCGGTAGACCGTTCTCCCCTCCCCTCTCTCTCTCCTCGAAAAACACGATTCACTTGGCACACAATTTTTGTGCATATAATGTACGGTACGAGAATGGCAGTCCCCTCTGCTTAATTTAATCCAATACAATATGTCCCCTTGTCTCACTCTGCTTCCACCCTTCACCCGCGAAAGCTTAGTTAAAGAGGGTGGGTGGCTTTTTAAAACTGTGCCGATCTCAATTCAGCGTGAAACCTCATCCCATTACGATCAGTCTAATCCTGATTGGAGCGGACAGGTTTTTTACTTTGGCGGTGTATCGGTGGCCCACGATCGTGTCCGGGGGTGAATCTCAGAAATGATCTCTGTTCAGTATTTGTCATACCTTAGATGAACATAAAAGCGCACTGATATTAATGATGAATACATTTTAAAAAATGTTATATTTTGCTAATAAATATGTACAAGAAATACAAAAATATGTGCGTGTGTGTATTCGAGGAGGGTGGAAAGTTAATAGGATTACACACACATATTTTTTCTTACTGGACCACGTGCTTAATTTTGTTCATGTTTTAGCAAATTCTATTAGAAGATTCTATTAATTGTTCTTTTCGATGTAATTAATTTACATGCATACAAGACACGAATGCTTCGTATTGAAGTCTCTATTATTTTAAATAACAGTGTAACTAGCGAGTGTAAGCACATCCTGTTTTAGTGACATTACATTTGTTATTTTTGACGTAGGAGAAATATTCTCAGCTGTGCTAGCTCTTCAATATGGGTTAGGACGATAATCCACGAAAGTCTAATTAATAAGGATTAGAAACGAATTTTAAAACAACTGATTTTTGGTAGGACACACACATTTTATCTTGAAATAGTGAGTTATCATTAAATTAAAAAATAAAAATATTTTAATTCGGCAAACAGAAGTTTCTAGTGATAAAAGGTATATGTTGTGCATATCAAATTCTTTTTATATTTTTGTTTATTTAATATGTACTTAAATTTTCAGCATCATCGGAATTACATGAATAAATTATAAATTATATCTTTCTATATTATAATAGAATGTAATCAGCTTCTTATTCTTATTCTTGAAAGCGTTGTGCAGCGTTCCCAGGTTAATCTACACTGCAGACAAATAAATTACAAATCATAAATTTGCATTACAAAGTATATTGATATTGCATAAAAAATATCTGTCTTCTTACAATACAATGTTACGTTATAATACGTATTAAGATCTCAGCAAAGAAAAAATCTTTTATAGATTAGAAAGATTAATTTGGAATAAAAACTGACGTTGGCAAGGCTTATTTTTAGACTCTCGCGTCTTTTCTACGATAGCAAAAGAGATTATACCGCGTTGATTTCGAGAATCGATAATTAATTTCTGATGGGCCTTTCTCGTTCTTTCGGCGGTTACTGTTTGCGATAGGGATCGCGAGCGCTGCGTCGACCTGTCAGAGGGTGCAAGCGAAGGAGATGGATTTGTTGCACAGCTGTGTACACTGCTTAATGTAGACGGTACCGGGTTCGGATATTGCTTTTGTGCTGGTTAAGGTAAATCTCGTTATCCAAAAGTTAACTATGGTTTGCTCATTTTCCAGTATCATTAACATCCTGAAAACTGCACGATAGTGCAGCCAGCGATAACGAAAATGATTAAAAAATTACTCTATCAAATTATTATTAAATATTCATGATCAACAGTCGCATTTTCCCCGTTTACTCTATTAGATTTTAATTTTATTTTAATTTTGATTTAACTGTTACATAAAATTTTGCTGAGATTTTAATTTCGATTTGCCTGTTAAAATAAATTTTTACTTTAGATCTTTATGTCGCAAACATACACAGAATATCATACCGATGTATTTATCACGCTAAATTGCGTGATTTTCCGTCGCGGGTGATTCATAGTTCACGAAGTTGCTATCAGTTTCACCTCCTTCCACATTATACACGCTTGTTAGTGTCTTACTCCTTGAAATATCGTATTCTTCTCCAAGCTGCCTGTACGTCTGCGCGCGGTTCTCCAAAATTTCTCTAATAATTTCTGTAAAATGTACATATATATATATATATATATAAATGTTTATTACCTATCGAAAGCTATTACTATTGCGAAGATAAATCTCTTCTATTCTATACTCGATTTTTTAAAATAAAATTTGAGAAAATACAGTTGCGAATATTTTTTCAAAGAATCTTTACTTTCAGTTCAGTCTTACCCATTAACAATTCTCTGCTTTCAATCATGTTACCCATTTCCTTTTTGACTTCTTTCATTAACCATGGCATAAAACCTTCTTCGACATCTGAAAATCATGCGCATAGCATATTATTGTCATTAAGTAGCAGCAAGACGATTGAGGAAGATGAGAGGACGAACAAATTCGATAGAGATACAATTGATAAGTAAACAGAAATTAAAGAAACTTTTATAAAATTCGAAAAAAAATCATATTTCTTGCAAACTCACCAGCCTTGATCTCGTCCAGTAAGTAGCCAGACATCTTCAGACCCTCCAGAACCGCAGGCAAAAGTTCGGCGATGTATCCTGTTAACAATACTGCAGCCGCGACTCGTTCCTCGGTCTCCTGCTGAGTTTTCATCGCCTTTTCTTGTTGTTTCTGGCGTTGATCCTGCGAATCAGAAACGAATTTACTATATTACATTTTACACACTTTCTCGTTCTTTATTTATGATAATGTAAAGAAAATAAACGAAGGACTTAAAGGATCAGAGTCGAAATATTAAAAAATCAAAATGGGAAGTCGATACCTTCTCCTCTTTACGTCTCCTCTCCTCTTCCACCAATCGTTGCTCCTCAGCTTTTTCAGCCATACGCAATTCGAGGAATCTTCTCTGCTGCTCCTTGAGAGCAGCAATCTCCTCCTCTTCCAGAACCTCGATTAGAGCTTGTTCGACAGTCTTGCCTACTAACACTTCCAAAATTGGTTGGACTTCAGTGTCGTAGTCGAAGAGCTGAAAATATTGTGATACACAAAATTTACTCTACATACCGATCTGACTGTAATATAAAATATCAATGTCATAAAATATTAAGAACACGTACTTCCCCGGGTTCGATTTGCGTGCAAGCGTCCCGACCAACCTTGCTTGTATAATAGTTCGGTAATACTGGTTTTTCCAAGAAGTAATCCGTTTGTGTAGCTACTTCGGATTCGTCTGGTTTCTCTATCAGCTTGAATATACAATACGTTTATTTAAAAAATTGATACTTACAATTAGTTTGCCTTTATAAAAAGCAATAATTTATTGATAATGAAATTTGTGAAATAGATGAAGGATTGAATTTACCTCCTCGAGAAAAGTCTCAGTTTGCACCGGTTCGTGTTTTCTTCCAGGAACCGGAGGAGGCGAACCCGTCCTGGCGACGAGCGCTCTGCAGACTTGCACTTGAGCTCGTTTCCTTACCAAATGTCTTCGTCTCGCTTCCGCTTGCCTCGCTGCTATCGATTGCTCCCCATCGATCTAGATAAATACGAATTTCATGAATGCGGATCTTTTACTTCGAAAAATTATTGAGATACTTACGAGAGTAGGAGCGGAAGCGAATGTACTTCCGCGAGCCACTCGGCGGTCAAACATAATATTCCCGTAAGGAACCGATTGATCGCTGCAAAATAACGTTATATTTGTTGTAAAATTCAATTCTTAATGGTAACACCAAACAAATTTAAGAAAAGCTTAGCTGTATATGCTGAATAATAATTATTATGAGACCCATTACTTTTAGGTAAGCATCGATAAACTTTGCAAAATATTAAATTTATTTAAATTTATACATGAAGCTATTTTAATATAATTGATTTTGGATGTGTTATCCTGCAGTTTCAAATTATATTAGCTTGTTTTTAGTTTAGTATATTTCGCTAATTTCCCAAATGATACAACAGAATGATTTTAATTCAATTGTATATTAGACTATATCTTATTGATTATTATCAAAATTATTATTAATTGTTATTCATTATATATATTATATTATAATATATAAAAAATACATAATTAACAACAATAATTAATAATAATAATTTTGATAATAGTCAATGAGGTAATTTAAGATTTCCTATTTAATTGAATTAAAATAATTTTGTATATGAATAGATATACAAAATTATTTTTGTATTTTGTGTGTGTGTGTGTGTGTGTGTGTGTGTGTGTGTGTGTGTGTGTACATACACACGATAAAGTAATTTAGTTATATGTATAAAATATAATGTTACATAATATGAAATAGTTAAAATAGAGATTATATGTGTCACTACGTAGCAAATTATAATATAAAAAATGAATAATTTAAATAATCTGACGTTAAAGATTAATTCGTGATACATATATTTGCTTAATCGTACCTAATGAAGCATGCGTTTCAATCGCATAACAACAAAATATCACGATGATGATGTCTACGACCCTGTTGCACGCTAATGGTTTCGATAACAATCACGATAGTGTCTAACGTGAGCGCAACAAAACGTTCACAACATATTTTCATGTACTGCATCCATCTAGCTATATTTAACGAAGATTTTTGAAGATTCCAGATTAACTTATTACATTTGATTACCAAAAAAAAAAAAAGAATTATAACGAAGTAAAATTGATAGCTTTTGTTTGACAAATAGTCATTTTATCCGATTATATTTACTCATATATAATGGTTGGTCATAAAAGACCTTATTAAGTGTAAAAGTTGTTTGTTAATATACACAGAGAGAATTTCCTTTTAAAATTTACCCTGAAAATCATATTAATCGTGGGACAGCATAGTACTTCAACAAATTTTATGTGATTTTCTGTTTTTTTACTGTGCATTGTAATAAATTTGTTGTAGTATATTTAAAAAATAATGAAAATCACATAAAATTTGTCGGAATTCTGCGTTGTCCTACGATTAACGTAATTTTTAGGGTAAATTTTAAAATAAAATTCTCTCCGTGTAGAAGTAAAAATTAATCCTCTCACACTTTTTTAGCTACCTATCTCTTTATATTAGTTTTCTCACAATCAGTTCCTTTTATTCATTTGCATTGCAAACAAATGGAAACATAAAATGACTAACTATTCATGGTCAAATGTGAAGAGTTAAGATTCACACAATTTAAATTTCATGAATGAAAATCTATGCTTAAAGTTTGAGTCTAGTGGACCCCAATATAAGATTCTAAGGTCACTAGAAAGTAATCACTAGTCGAGAGTAGCCGTTTCAATCGCGTCGAACATGATTTTCGTTTTTACGACAGTCAAGAATATGGTGCACCAGAAGCGACGACAGCCTAAAGAGAAACTCTAAAACGCGACCACAAGCGCACGCGTATAAATTAAGTCGACGAGAAGAAAAAAAGTGGGGAAAAAGCAGCTGCTATCGACTAAAGGACCAGTGATAAGTGTGGTGCCACTTGTAAGGTGTTTTCGTTACCCGCGGAGTCTCGGCAGCATATTCGTCATGCCCTCGATCGGTTCCAACTTTTTCGGTAAAGCTCGCGGCGTCTGCGGGAATCTGCTAGAAAAACAATTCCTGCTCTTCGTATACACTTTTTTTCCTAGTCTCGGAATCTCGGAATGCCTCTTATTATCTTTATTCACGCGCTTCAATTGAATTCGTAATCGCGTTTTGCCTTTTGGGACAGAGATACCTATCACGCTTTTTGAAACGCATGTCAGCGATAAGCTTTTACTGCGAATTTCTTTTAGTAGGCCGATCAATATATCCCAGCAATGTCTATCCTGTTTTGTAAATATTTAATTTTTGAGATGTAAAAATTAAAATAAGATATATATTACAATTTGCGTTTATAAAAATATTTTGAAAAAGGAATAAAAAATTTGTATCGTCTCTCGATACGAAATAAATTCTATGGAAATAGGGGCGGACTTTTCGTGGTCTGAGATTAATAACTTTTAAATGTTCCTAATAACAATTAAGCTAGAAAGTATATTAGAAAGAAATAACATTCCTATATTTTATGTATCGTTGTATGCAACTTAAAAAAGAACCGACAAATGTTTCTGCGTGTAAAAATATTTTAGCGAGCGTTCCTCGCGAGTGAAACGTCATGGCAGCTCTCTTTTTTTTTCTGTAAATCCGCCCCCGATTGTAAGGTGATGACACCGACATGCCAATTGAACGACGACTATAACGCGACTGTGCGACGCCACCTCAACGTTGCACTTACGCCGGTTCGCTCCTCTTGAACCTTCTTGCTTGCTCATTCAAGGTCGAGGCGGTGGCGATGGTGGTGGCGTTCATCATGCCGAGGGAAAAGTCTACGGTGGCTTTTAGGGCGGCTGGACATCTGGCATTGTGACTATTGTGACGTACCTCCGGCCTCTTGGCCAGCGATACCAGCGACTTGAACCTGCTCTTCAGGGGACATCCGTCCGCTGTCTCCTCCTCGTTACCGCTCGGTAAAGCTATGCCGAGCAAGGCCGCCACTTCCGGCGGCGGCATTAGAAATTCCCCCGTCTTCACGGTCGTGATGAACGGCTTCTTCTGCGGCGGGATCGATTTCTTGGGCGACTTGCGGCCTTGCTCGGCCTCGGCTTGCTCTTGAATCTTTTTCAGTTTTGCATTCAGCACCTCGTTGAAGTCCTCCGTCGATAGAACGATGTTGGATCTAGTCGTAGGTGGTCTCTCCTCAGCCAATTCTAAGCTGTCGTGACTTTTACTCTGATGCTTCTTCTTCAGAGGATTGGCTTGACTAGATTGTAGACTAGCCAAGACCAGATGTTCGTTGGATTTGCTGATGCGTCTGCGATTACAGAGATTGTTCTTGATCGCGTTCTTCATGTTCTCCAAGTTGGTGAGCTGCGACGCATTCATCTCATCGTCCTCGTTGACGTGTAAGAGCGGCAGACTCGAGTCCAGGCCATCCTTCTGCAAGATTGTAAAGGCCGGCGGATCCTTCGTCTCATAATCGAAAGATTCCGCATCCGTCGACGGCGCCAGAGTCGAAATACCGGCCGGCATCCTTTCGATTTCTTCAGACGTCCGATTTTGCGGCGGACATGGTGAATCGCTCGAAGAGGATTAAAATCGCGTGTCGTGTTTAACTTTTCAAGCGCTCCCCTTCAAAAGTTTAGAGATTACATTTTATTCAAACGGTTTTACTCGTTATATATTTGTTGCGTTTGTATTATGCAGTGGGAGGTAATTGTGCCTCGCAAATCTCAGAAGCTATTATCTCAGGTCTCAGAAATTCAGTCTATTGATCGCTCATTGATTGTCCGCATTTGCAAAGTGAGAACATGACATAGTCGCTGATACGCGAACGTGGCGTTCGTAATTATTTCTTTAATTATTCACCGATGAAGTCACGAGAGGTCTGTCTCGCAAATGAGCGAAAGGCGCATTTAGGTCTAATTGCAAAATATGAGCGGCAATTTTGCGATAGTTAATGATGAGAAATTATGGCGAGAAAAAGAGTTTTTATTAATTCTGATAAAAATATGAAAATTTTTACAAATTTAGTTAAGAATGTGATAAGATGTGATGAGCGATTTTACATATATATATTATTTAGAGATCAATTCATTTGAAAATAGCTTTTATTTTTATTATTATCGGACCGATTTTTGAATGCACATTTTGAAGTTTTCGAGTTATAAAAAAGAGAATATCTCACATAATTGTGATTTTGTATTACAAATAAACGCAGATTGTTAATTGATTTATAATGTTGAAGGTAAATCTCTTCGAAATTACATTGACTTTAATTCCTCTCACAATCGGTTCACGTTAATACGTACTGTGCCAAAACTGACGCCAAACTGGCGGTTTTGCTGGCCGCGGAAGCTTGAGAAAAACGTCGTGATCGTTCGTCGAGTATAGCCGCGGCATTACTGACTGGCTCGCGCGGGGGAGTTCAGAGACTGGACAATGTCCTTAGAATCGACCGATATAGACCGCACAGGCCAAGTTGCACGTATATCTTCACCCTGCGACCGGCGGCCACTCAATAACGCTGACCACCGCGAATGTTGCGCATGCTTAAGTCTACCGACAAAGGGTGGACTATTGTTGGGGTTCTACCTAGGGAACCTGTCCGGGAACTTCCGACCCTAGCAACACTTCAAGGTGAAACTGCACTTTTGATCGGGTCAGCCTGTCGCGAAAATACGGCTTGACACTTGACTCATGTTCTAAATATAGACATGCGATTCTTTATTTCTTCGTTCTCCTTTTGTTTGTCGTTTCATGAAATAAATAAATTTTATATATACATGTGTTTTTTGTACATGCGTTTTGCGTCTAAAAGTTTAGAGTTGCTCAGGTAACCTTGATGTCGAGGTTTCTTATTCTTCGAAACATCCTCAAAGATATATGGCTAGTTGCTTTGGTTTGTAGTGGTAGTTATTTACTAATGCAAGTGTGTGAGTGTGCGCGTGATAGACTATAAGGTGGAAAATGAATTACGAGATGAGTAAGGCATTTTGTTAACAGCACACGACTTATGCAAATAGTGTACATGAAAATTCAGATTTAGAATGTAATTAAACATGATATATGAATATGATTCTGTGTAATGATACTTTTTTTACAACAATATAATTTAAATTATAGTAAATTATTTTAGCATACATTGTATTACCTTCAGTTTCTTTCAAAAGAACTTCAATCGAAAACTTCGTTATATCTCATTTGTAATCATGTATATCGCAATCGCGTTTATAATGGTTTCGTGCTGCTCGAAAATATATTGAATCCAACATTTACGTACATGGAGCTTCTTAATCTAACCATAAATCTGTTATCAGCAAACGAAGTCGCGGGTTGAAAAGTAGCTTACTCTTCAAAAAGTTTCTATAAAATTTTTTTGCACGAATTCTACACGAATGGTGTAATTCACACGCACAACCACAGATTGCATATCAATAAATCCTACAGATTCTATCTAAGATATAGATTTGCGATAATATATTACTAACAAAGTTTTTGATATATTTCAAGAAAGTATCGATCTAATAAACTGAAATATAAAAATAACAAGTGATATTTGACAAACAAAAATTTATGTCCGAGTTTGTAGTTTGGTATTATAATGGGATAGTTTTTTCATTGTTACACGAGCGCATATCTGATTAGTCAACCTATACTCGAATAAAGTCGTAAATAGTGACCTACGGTTGTTTACGATAGCAACTTACAGTCGATAGTAGCTTTCCAGTATTTACGTTATTGTTCCTTCAATTTTATAAATTAGATCACCGGTCTGTTTTTCAGAGAATTCTGACATAAAAAATTACTTCACGCTATTATGTCAGGCAAATAAAAAATTTATTACAGTTAATATTTCCATTAAAAAATTATTTACAGTTGGATGGAAAATGTAAATTTGTATTGCATTCGCATTAATGTTAATACGCTGCAGAAATCCTTGAAGAAATTTCTCTCTGGTTTTTCGCGTTTTGCGTGAAACGTCGCGTGCGATTAAGTGTTTAGGGCGCCAATATTCGTCGTTAGAAAATCAATAAAATAAGTAGGACACACGCATACACATGAATTTATAAGCTTTTTTATTTTTGTATTCTATTTGAATGAATTAGAGGTTACAGTTTTACTCAATATCACAGCTTTTTTTTTTTAATAGTATATGGTATACACGCATACACTGTATTCATCTCTTAATTATTTTATAAAGAATTGACATTTTCTTATTCAAGACAGCTTGTAGAAGATTACTATTGTTAATTCATGATTGAATGCCTCGTCTGCATATAACGTGAATCGGGTATTTCTTTCAATCCTAATCAATATCACTTGCTGATTATTTTATTATGTATCATGCAAATAGCTTTATGCTAAATATAGAGCGCAAGGAACAGTCAGAAAAATATTTTTTAAGATTGTACTATTGCGTTTAATTTATAGAATAATAAAATATAAAAATGAATCGTTTTTATATAAATTCTTTACAGAATGCATGATATTTATTATATTCATATAAATGATTTCTTAATTTCTTATATTAAATTATGGTATAGAATAACAATCACGTAATTTTGTTTAACATTTTTTCAATTAATGCTGACATTTGATAACAAATTAGTTGACAAATAATTATATTTAGGATTAAATACACTGCATGATAAATAAAAACTTTAACTTAAAAGCCTTACGAAATTCAAAATTTTATTTGCAAAAGAAAGTTCTTTTTAAAAAATTCTAGTTTATATTAAAAATTTTTATATAATTTATGAATAAAAAACTTATTTTAAGTTCTCAATCTGGAGTTTCATGAAAGAGAGGTGTAATCTACTTCGTAGCTGTAATAATGTATAGCATAAATATTCCCTTTTGATAGAGTCAGAAATCGCGTGAATCGCATAACGTCACACACTTTGTATTCTTCCGTGTACGATAGTCAACGATAAAATCAACCACTGCGGTCATTCCCTTTGTCGTCTATAAGCACAGTAATCTATAGACTAAATGCTGCTACATTATCTATGCTGTGCTTTTCCAGTGTGTTATTGATATTCTTTTTCTAGTCTTAAAGCTTAATCTTAATAGTTTTCTCGGAATATGTGAGTTAGCAAAATTCTTTTTTTTATAAGCAGTCTATAAGTTTTTATCTAACGAGATTGTTTTAAATAAGTTTATTGGAAATGATAAAATAAAAAAAATCTTAGAGAAGACTTATGTCGCCGATCTGTGTCGATATTTGAGAAATATCAATAATGAGAAAAGATAAACAATATGCGAGAAATAGAACAAGATTTTATTATTACGTTAATGTGTGTATGTTTTTTATAAAGTTGATAGTTCACACTTTTGCGTAAGTTTAGCACAGTGTTAAATATGTAGAGCATGCTTTACGTAAAGAAACGAATATAATCACGTGTTTTCCGTGTCGCTTGTGACGCTCGGAATCATTAATTCAGAGAATGATTAGGGCGTACATTTATACGCGACAACGTTAAACGAATAAAAATGGTTTATAAGTACACTTGTTGCGTCAACATCAACATGAAAATTTTACGTGCTAATGAATATGAAAGGTCTTTTTTTATTAATTAATGCGCTAAGTGGCTTGCAATTAGCATATAATTATGATCTTCAGTCATGTTATTATATTGGAGAAACAAATTAAGCTATTTGATAACAGAATTACGATAAATTCTTAATATACATTTAAACGAAGAACAAGAACTTAATTATGCATATCTCCTTAATTCTTCTTCGTAGAAAAAAAAATTTTATTTAGAATTTTTTAAAATTTATTCGAGATCTGCAAGTCTATCGATGTTTGCCAAGCAATTTTTCGAGTTGCACAAAAGTCTCTCATTATCTTAACCTTAATGAGTATTCTCATTAAGGTTATTATGTTATTATTATATCGTGAATACTATTATTTGTCATCAAAAGTGATTGATACTTACGTTGGAGGATTTCTGTATTTTTTTTGAATGTGTAATATTGCCCTCGGACTCTTCACGAAAGTATAGGTCTCCTTCCTCTCGAGTGTCTCGAAGGGAATGTTGTAGGATTGCAATCCCCGATTGCACGTTCGGCACTGCTCCGTTCTTGCAATCATTGTGAATTTTTCTCGCACAATTTAATTGCGTAGAAATTTTACTTTTGATATTATGGTATTGTGCCGCACGATTTCCAGTCCCTTGTAAAAAGGTTTCTCAGGGCGGCTGTTGTTCGCTACTGGACTCTTAAGCGTCTGTTGTTATAGAAACGGATCAACTCCCTTTATTGACTTGAAGCTTTTCGTATCCAAGATACGTAATCTGCATTTCATGATTCTCATTTATTATGAATTCAAAGTAGAATTTTGATTCATTATTTATGAAAGGAGAAAGATATTATCGTTCAATTGAATTATTAAAGTTATATACATATATGCATATTTTTTAAATAATTCAACTATGTATATATTTATTATTATTTAATAATTAAATATATATTATATAAAATATAGAATACGTATATTTTAAAACTTTGTGTATATTGTATTGTTGTTTTTTTATTAGCACTATTTACACATTAATATAATCATTGCGTAATCTAGCGTAACAAATCCAATTAAATTATTGTTAAAAATATTTGTTTAATACATGTATCACTTTTAAAATTGTTAATTTGATTACGATGTATATTAAAATATTTATAACTTAAAAAATATTCTTTTTTTTATTGAAACAAATTTAGCTATTCTGAAAAAAGTCGGTTTCTACTTGAAGCTAGATATGTCAAGTCGATAAGTATACACACTTCTCTCTGAGTATATCTATACTGGGTAAAACGAAATCGATACTATATACCGGGTGTCAATTTATATTTTTCTACTTTACCGAGTTAGACATGAAGTTGCGTCTACTGCCGATAGCAGCGCATCGAAGTTAAGCGGTATAAATATATAAAATCATGAATGAATAATAATTAAGTCAATAAAATTTAAAAATAATTTAAAATAATTAAATCAAAGAATGATTATGAGATAAGCTAGGTTTTAATGCGAAATTTTTCTTTACAAAATTTTTAAATTATAATTTATATTAGTTATATAACGTTGGTAAGATAAAACGATAAATATTTCCGATTCTTATTGAGTAAATCTCAGTGTCGCAAATTATAAAAAACCCAGCATAATTACATATTTTTTCTTGAACGCTTAGTTATCATGTTATCGTTCGCAGGTCCGAAAATAATTCGCAGTAATGTGATATAGATTAACGGATTGAATTATTAATGGATGTTTTTTGGCCCATTGTTAAAAGTAACCTTGGATAGACTGTGTTTCAGAAAATAGGAAAAACAATGCCTTTTGACGTCAGAAGTGAAGGATGAGGTGTCAAATGAGAATGTCAGATTGTAAAGAAAAATGAG